ACAGTTCATTTGGAATTGATCTTTGTGTACGGTGTGAGATAGGTGTCAGTTGTAATTTTTCTTCCTCCTATCCGGTCATCCATTTCCCACTGATTGGCAGTGCCACTTTGATCTTGAATCCAGCAAAGAAAGTAGAAAAAAGGAAGCAAAAAAGAGCAGAAATGAATGAAATAAGCAACAAACATAATAGAGGGATTCAACAAGACCTTGACAAAGCTAATAATTGATAATAATTGAAACCTTCAATCAGATCCATACATTAAAAAAGAGAAACCGTAAATTACCAATGTCAGGGACAAGGAGGAGGACATGCCCATGGAACCCAGACACACTAAAAAGTTCCTGCAGGGCTGTTACAGACAAGCTTATTTATGTGAAATAGATATTTTCCTAGAAATACACAGCTTACCAAAATTAATACAAGAAATAGAAAATTTGAATAGCCAATGCACATAATTGAATATATAATTCAAAACCTTCTCACAAAGAAATATCTATATCTACATGGTTTCATTAGCCAATTTGATCAAACATTTAAATAAAAACAAGAACATAATGACAAAAAGATTAATGATTTAGGAAAACATGTAATTATTAGAGTTGACAAACATAATATCTGAGAGGAAAAATTAACTGGATGGACTTAATAGTGGACTAGAGACTGGACAATAAAAGATTAATGAACTTGCCCTGGCTGGTGTGGCTCAGTGGTTTGAGCGCTGCCTGCTAACCAAAGGGTTGCTGGTTTGATTCCCAGTCAGGGCACATGCCTGGGCTGTGGGCCAGGTCCCCAGTAGGGGGCATGTGAGAGGCTACAATATACTGATGTTTTTCTCCCTCTCTCCCCCTGTCTAAAAATAAATAAAATTTAAAAAAAAAAGGAAAAAGATTAATGTACTTGAAGACATAGCAAACTAAAATAGGGGAAGAAGTTGAAAAATAAATAAACAGAACCTCAGTTACCTATGGAACAATTGGATTTCCTCAAAAAAGGAAGAAAAGACAAATGAAAAAAGAATGGTCACAATTTCTCTAAATTATTATCATTTTTTAAACTTTATTTTAACTTTGTTTTTATTGTTGACACTATTATGGATATCCCCCCTTTGCCCACTTCTACCCCGTCCTGCCTCCCTTCCCTCTGGCAGCTGTCAGTCTGTTCCATGTTATCCAGGCCTCCGTTTCTATCTTGTTTATCAGTTTATTTTGTTCATTAGATTCCGCATATAAGTGAGATCATATGGTATTTGGATAAAGCCAGTCAGAGAGTTGAGTGTATTTTTAAAATAAATTTTAGGCATACTGATTAATTCTGGATGCTAATCCTTTTAAATGCAAAACAGTTTTTTTCCAGTTTATGGCTATCTTTTATTATTACTTTTAAAGTTTGAAATTTGCTTTTTATTTTTTATGAATAGATAGATATGTTCACATGAATCAAAAATCCAGAAAGTACAAAAGAGCATACATACAGTGAAAAGTGTCTCCCCCACTGCTTTCATGCAGTTCCTCTCTCCAGAGGCATGTGACTTCATTTTTTTAAGAACTTTGTTTAAAATGCCACTTGCTTGTAGAAATTTTAAATTTTAATGTAGTTCAGTGTATCAGTCTTTTATTTGTGGATTGTACTTTTTATCTTGTTTAAGAAACCTTTCCTCTGCTTCATTAATTTATTCTTCTATACTCTTTTTAAACTTTTTAAAGATTGGCTTTCTGTATTTAGATCTTATTTCTGCCTGGAATTTATTTTTTTGTGTATGAGGTGAGGTAGGGATCACCTTCCTTCCATTTTATAAAACTACTTGTTCTTATATTCCTGCATTACGTGATTGTTTCACCTAATACAACTTCCAGTGTGATGGGAGACTACTGTTGGATTTCATCTGTGTATTGGCAAATGCAATGAACTGGTCCAGTTTTTAATTTCTTTTTTGTTCCTTTTTGCAGATGAGTGCTTAGAGTCCGAATAAGTACCGCCTTTCAGGCCCCATAATGTGTCCTTGTGTCCTGTAACATGCCTGGAATTTGTGTAGGCTCCAGGGGGGCGGGGAAAGGAGGGTTCCTTTGTCACAAGAAACAAGGAGAAAGCTTTTTCCCTGTCTCTTCCATTTACCAATGCCTCATCCGAAGCTTTCAACTCTTATGTAAGAAATTTATTTTTCTTGAACTGGAACAAACTTAGAGTTTGTTTTAAAATAAGATATGGCAGAGTAGGATGTTGTATTTGCTTAAATATAGTATTTTTTCTTTATTCCTTGAAATCTCTTCAATTCTTAGCCATGCTTTTGGATATTCTCTGCTTTATATTGTGGAATCCTGTATTCTGTGGTAGGGGTTAGCAGTCTTCGTGATATGGGGATAATTTAAAAACATAGCCCACCATGCCTGTCTTTTCCATCTCTCATCTTCCATTTTGCTTCTTTTTTTTTTAAAATAGTTTCTCTTACATCTTACCTTGCCAGATGCTCTACTCAGAAAAAGTGAGGAAGAAGGGGAAAAAACTAAGTTAAAGAAATTAAAGTGTGGCAAAACAAGAGTGAATGATTGTGGGAAGGAAGGGGAAAAAAAGCAGAAGGGGAAAGGAAATGGAGATTGCTTGTTACTTGTGTGTTAGGACTCCCAAGGTATCTTTTTCTTGTGTTTTTTGTGAACAGGTAGGGGCAGCCTTGAACTTACTCATTTTTTTACCTGTTCTACCTACTTAGGAAGGAGTGGACTTGGGGGCAGTGGTCAGGTAGGAAGGAGTCTTTTGAGAAACAATGTAGTTGGGACTTTGTTCTTCTAGCTACTTCTAGCTCCTCTCTTGCTGGTGTGTTTGATCCAGTTTAGTGCCATAGAGTCGACTGAGGTACAAGTTTTAGACTCTTAACTGAGTCTTACTTGGGATGATAATAAAGATCCGGAGGTTACATGTGAGTATGTGTTTATATTTTAGGGACACAATGGATGCTATTTATGTACATTTATATGTTAGAACTATTTGATCTGAAATCTGGTTTTCAGAATGAAAAGGGATGTGAAATCTGTAAAATGACAGTTTAAACTGATGAACCGTAAGACTTTTCAGTGCTGACACATTTCATGATTTTCTGGCTCTCTCTCTGTGGAGTAGTAATTTTTCATTCATAGTGATTATAAACAATTGTTTCATGTTGACTTTCGTCTTTTGACTGAAATAAACTGACATTGTGAACAGTTTAGGATAAAGTCGCTTTTGATTTTAATTGGCTTATATTATAATCATTGGCATCTTTAAGTTTATACAGAAAAAATAACCTACCTTAGTGTGTAAAAAGGTTGAGGAGGCAGGCATTTTAAGTTTTCTTTCTTTAATGACTTTTTGGCTTGAGAACACATTAATAATTTTTAATTTTTGTGTCAATTCTTATTATGTATTATCATTTTAGAGAAAAGAAGGAATATAGTAGCTACTAACTGAAGATTTGGGTTATTGATTAAAATTATGTAATAATTTTTCAAGGAAGTAGAGCTGAACTTTGAAGTTTACCTGTGCTTTGTTTTCATTATACCATTAAAAATTATCCATGCAGTGTTGGCAAAGTGTTATAGATTAGTTAGGTTTATTATTTAGAGGAGTCATTGTCACTGGAACAGTGCTTTGGTGCTTAGGTGTTGTGGAAGGCTTTTAAGTTGTGGTTGTTTTTATTGTGGAAATGTTTGAATGAGTCAGGTGAATTTCGACCTTGCTTGACAGATGTGATTACTTGTCCTTTCGGGCTTGTGTTATAGCTGCTCATCGGTTATATAATAGATTACTGTTTATATAATAAGAAGTAGAACAAGCCATTAGAGATAATTGGTAATGGGTACAAACAGGCGATGATGGGTCTGCTAAAAGAGATGGAATAACACAGTTCTTATATGTAACATATTAAAAGTAAAAGGTAGGCATTAGGAAACAAAGAACAGGGAGAGAATTATTTCTGAGAGTCTAAGATGCTTTGCCAGGAGTACAACCCAAATAATGGAGGAGCGGAATACCAGCGAAGATCAGGGGCCAACAGAACATATCTGCTGAATATTTTTATTCAGTGATAGGAGAGTGAGGTTAGAAGCAAAATACTCCTGACTTTTTCAAGTGCCTTAGGGAGAAGAATCTGTCTGAGAAAAAGTTGCACTTCGGTGATGGGACAGAGGCATTCAGGATTGAAGGATTTTTAAATAAAACCTATTTCTGGATCTGGGCAAGGCTGAATTAAATTTATATTTTACATACTGTGCCTTACATTCTAGTGAAGAATTTTTGGTTATGAGGAACAGAATTCAAGAGGGCCTGGCTCAATTAAAGGGAGTTAATTATAAAGAAATGCCTTCTTGTGTAGAGACCCAGGAACCCAAGAACCCTATGGATAACTGTCTTTAAAATGCCTATGACACTATTTAAATTTAGTTTTAGCTCCTAAATAGTATTAGGTTTACTGGCACATGGTTCCTGTGGTGTTTGAGACTGGTCTGAACATGGTGCTGGCAGCAGTTGGTCACTGCATAGGAAATACTGTCTAGTATTGGCTATATTCCCAAGAAGGCCTTAGTCAGATGATTACCCATTGCTGTGTTAGGGGAACAGCTGCAGGTCTGATGTTTTACAAGTGATAATCCAGGGTTTCACTGTTTTAATGAGGAAACGTCTATGTGACAACCAATTCTAGTATGTCATTAGATTTGGGAGGCTGTAGGGGTCTGTGTCTTCCTACGTTGTATCCCTGAAATTAAGAGGCAAGTTCAGGTCATATAACAGAGGCTGTCTATCTGGTGTCTTTTCTTTAAACTCAATTTCTGAGAACTAGGTGGGAATAGCTTAAACAGCAACCAGTCCAAAACTGTCTTCTTTTGTGCGGTGAACAGATTAAGAATAAGGTTTTCCAAAAGGCCAATGTGTAGATTAACCCTCAGAAAGAGTGAATAATTATGTGGTTGAGAGGGCATGAGAAGGACATAAAAACGATCCCCCCAAGGTTCTTCTGTTTCACGTTTTTCAGTGATGCCATTTGCAGTTTTGTTATCTGCAATGACTCTTCCCTTCGAGGCCAGCCCATCATCTTCAACCCTGACTTTTTTGTGGAAAAACTCCGGCATGAGAAACCTGAGGTGTTCACTGAGCTGGTGGTTAGCAATATCACAAGGCTCATTGATTTGCCTGGAACCGAGCTGGCTCAGCTGATGGGAGAAGTGGACCTGAAGTTGCCCGGTGGGGCTGGTGTGGCGACAGGCTTCTTCCGGTCTCTGATGTCTCTCAAGCGAAAGGGTAAGAGAATGTCTGGGAAGGGTGCACCTGTCTCGGTGGCTTCCTGGGTGTCACTCTTCACATCTGCATGTTCCTTGAGGAGTTGATAATACCATAAAGCAAAATCAGTCATTTTTTTCATTTTCCTAAGTAGTGTAACAATAAAAATTGTAAAAATAGTCTAGATAAACTGAAGCAAATATATATCGGTCCTCAAGAGATGACATATTAGTTATTAGTTTACATATTTATCAGGGGCACCTTGATTTTCATGCCCTATTAATACTATACTAAAATAATATTTAAGAAAACCAATTATACAGCTAGAAGTACAGTAAAGATAATTTGAACTTTTTTTTTCCTATTTTCACTGCAGTTGTTAAGTTTCCAAATATTTTCATTCCATGGAATGCTCTAAAGAAGCAAATACCTATGAATTAACAAAAAAAAAGCCTTCTCAGAAAATAATTTGTAGTGCTGCTTTTGATATTAAAGAGGTACTATTTTATTTTATTAAATATAAGGAAATTATTAAGGTAGCAAAAAGTTTAAACATGATAAGCGATCAGACCCTGTGCCGACTCCAGTGGATAATCTGTCATGCTTTGACAATTATGACTCTGAGGTGCTATTACCTATTTTTTTTTTAAATTAAATATCAGCATTTCAGGTATTGTTACTTAAATAAGAAGATGGTCTTTGCCTTCAAGGAACCTGCAGTCTAACATTAAACTTGCAGAGTTGATTGAGAGTTGTTTTGATTGCATGTTCTGGTGTGCTTCCAGCTCCGAGGTTTTTGTTAATTGACCTTGTGAAAGCGTTTGCTGAACTGTGACGTAGGTTTCAGTCTGCTGATTGTGTACTGTTTGTGGAAAATATGGTCCTGTCCTATCGTATTTGTTTTTTTTTTTTAGAAAAAGGAGTAATATTTGGATCCCCACTGACAGAGGAAGGCATTGCCCAGATATACCAGTTAATTGAATATCTACATAAAAGTAAGACTACTTGAAATTTTGTTGTTCTTTGTTAATGAAGAATTGTCAGCTTTCTGCGGAGAGCTGACGTCCTTGAGTTAGTGTGTGCCGATTAAGCATCTACAAAGGCACTAATCAGTGATGCTTTCAGGTAGCATGTTTCTATTCTCTTTTAAATTTCATCTCATGTATTGATTTGTTTTTATTCTCAATGATGTATATAAATTAGATACGGTCTATGAAATCACATCTTCCCCTTGACTCAGAGAGACCTTTTTTCTGGAAAAATACATTGTCTCTTGAGAATTATAACATTTACTCAGGGAAGCATGGTTTATCACCAAAGACACTTTCCTCTTTAGAATTCTATGATCAAAATACACTCTTCACTTAATTCCCATTTTCTATTTTAGTAGTCATGCTGCTTACGTCACTGCTGTAAGTGCTTGGCACAGCTGAGTGTATGTGAAACGTGGGCCGTTATGTGATAAATGCAACAACATTTATCAATAAATGGCTTATTCTCTGTGGGACACCGCTAGGAGCTAGAGCAGAGGTAGCAAACTGGCAGCCTGAGGGCTTATCATCTACATTCATGTATTGTTTGGCTGGCAAAGGGTTAAATTAAAAATAAAATTAGTTACCAGTGTTTTAAAATGGGGAAAATCCAGGATTTTAATTCCTTGGGGTGACAGGAAGCTCTGACATCCTTGGGCCCTGCTGCCACTTCCCCATCAGCTGGAGCACAGGTGTGTGCTCTCCGTTTGTGATGGTTCCTGCTTGTTCATGTACTGTTACCTGCCTGGCCCTTTAGGGGTTTGAACTTGGTCCTCTCAATTAGGGAGTTCTATGAAGATAAGTACATACCCAAACTGAACACATGAACTCGCATGCTTCTTTCAGAGCAAACCAAAACTGTACGTTTTCTCTTTTTTATCCCTTGATATTAGCTTAGAACCTGGTTGGGAGGGAAGCATAGTTTAGTTGGGATGGCGTGAAGGTTCCAGGAATCTTCGACAAAGGTGATCTGACAGGTTAGAGTTCCAGTTCCAGAGGAAACGGAGACTCTAGATTTATTTTAGGCTGGGAAACTGTAGCAGCAACAAACCTCCACATATGAACTCAGCCCCTTCAAACAAAGTCTTGGATGGCAAAGGAGAGGGGCCTCCAGGGAGAGCTGTCTTTTCTTCGCATTTATTTTTCAAGCTCATTTTTATTGTTTAGGTTAAAGTTGGTCTCCAGATATGCCTCAGGATGTTGAATGACTCCTGGGTGGACCGGCTCAGTCAGGTGCTCGGGTGTTCAGGATATCTCCTCAGGGGAGAGTGGGTTCTAAACTACTCTGGACAAATGGGCAAAAACCTTTTCCATGGACTTTCAAGTGTAAAGTAGCCTTTTAGATGACTTATTTTAATCATACTTTCTCTTTTTGCTTCCTTTTTGCATGTCCCCTGTTTTCTCTCATGCTAAACAGACTTGCGGGTAGAGGGTTTGTTTCGAGTGCCAGGGAATAGTGTCCGACAGCAGATTTTAAGGGATGCTCTCAATAATGGAACTGATATTGACTTGGAATCAGGGGAGTTTCACTCAAATGACATTGCCACCTTGCTGAAGATGTTTCTAGGAGAGTTACCTGAGCCCTTGCTGACACATAAACATTTCCATGCACATCTCAAAATTGCTGGTGAGTATGGGAGGTGAGATCAAGATGTCAATACATTTCTTTCAATTTAGTAAATTTCTTTGGAATTTTCTGTTTGTAACCCATAACAATACCAAAAAACCCCAAACAAACCCAAGAACCACAACTAGTCACCCACAGCTAGACCCCCCCCCAAAAAAAGGAAAAGAAAAAACAGAACAAAATAAGAAAAAAAAGTACTTCTGCTAATATTGGTTAAAACTTCATGGTGTTTTTGCACTTCCCTGGGTACTCAGAAGTATTGGCCAGCTAAGTTTGATTTAATGAAATGCTTTTCTTGCTCAATTAGCTTTTTTAAAAAAAGATTTTATTTATTTATTTTTAGAGAGAGGGGAAGGGAGGGAGAAAGAGAGGGAGAGAAATATTGATGTGTGAGAGATACATCAGTCTGTTGCCTCTCGCCTGCTGCCAACTGGAGACTTGGGCTGTAACCCAAGCATGTGCCCTGACTACAATTGAACCAGTGACCCTTTGGTTTGTAGGTCAGCACTCAGTCCACTGAGCCGTACCAGCCAGGGAAAAATTAGTTTCTTTGGAGATAAAATCTGAGTTTTATTTATTTTTTATTTCTCAGGGATCCTAGTATAGTGCTTTGAATATTTAGCTGCCTAATAAATGTATGCTTTCATTGGATCAATTCACATTACCAAGATGGTTATAGGTTTGGTATGTTTCCCTTAGTTTGGGGCTTTAGGTATGTATTGTCATGCCTCAATTGAGATCATCTCTACTCTTGGGAGTTTTTTCTTTTCCCCAGGATTTTTTAAAAATTGAATTTATTTGGGTGACATTGGTTGATGCAATTACATAGGTTTCAGATGTACAATTCTATTATACATCATCTGCATATTATATTGTGTGTTCACTATCCCAAGGAAGTTTGTTTTTACTTTATTATTTTATTTATTATTGTATTTTTTCCATTACCGTATATGCTCCTTGAAGTTTGTTTTTTCAGAAATGTTATTTGCTTCCTAAATAGTCAATACACGCACATGGTTCAAGTTCAAAGTGTTCAAAAGAGTATACAGTGAACAGACTCTCTCCCACCCTTATTCCCCAGCACCTAGTTTTTCTTCCCAGAGGCAAACCATGCTATGATTGCTAATGTAGCCTTTCAGAGATAGTTTATAGACTTAGAAGTACTTATATTCCTTTTCCCTCTTTTTATGTGATGGTACGTTATTATATTTATTTATTTGTTTTACTTAATGTGCCTTGGAGAATGTTGTTCGTTTCCAGCTCCTAGTTTCCTCATCCTCCTGTGTGCCTGTGTGGTGGAGGGTTCATTCTTCAGCTGCACAGCTGTTACGCTGCTGCGGCTTCCCCGCCCATGATTCCCTCTTCTGATCGTTTTTCATGGAATGCGTCACAGATCTGTGTGTCATCCTTGCACAGGGGCCGTGTTAATTTTCTCTGTATTGTTCTAATTTTAGTATATGTGCTGCCGAAGCAAGCACTTCTTGCTTCTAATTTTTTTAAAAGATTTTATTTATTTATCTTTAGAGGGGAGGGGAAGGAGAGAGGGAGAGAAATATCAATGTATGGTTGCCTCTCGTGTGTCCCCTGCTGGGAACTGGCCTGCAACCCAGGCATGTGCCCCAACTGGGAATCGAACCACAATCCTTTGGTTTGCAGGCCTGCGCTCAATCCACTGAGCTATGCCAGCCAGGGCTCTTGCTTCTAATTTTTAGAAAAGTAAATATAAGATTTTTTCTTTTCAATAATTTTTACTACTGAAAAGAAAACCAAATTTAAATTTCTAAAACCTAATAAGGTTAGATTTTTTTAGTGCTATCAGTAATAATCCAGATGATATACTTGAAAAAATATTAGCAGAACATTATATAACTTTGCAATTATTTTGGAGAGAAATAAAATTGTTGAATCTTTGAAAAAGATATGGAAAATATTGATAAATTCTTTTTACAAAGGTAACATGAAGAAGGCTTTTTCTGTTTGCTTTCCCATTGGGTTAGTTTAGGGCAGTGTTTGAAACCCTCCCCTTCATTACCCCACCACTCACTGTTCTTTGAGGTCATATTGAGGTGTGGCACAGTTGTAGTGCTTGCTATGCCTTGCTGATCACTGGAAGTGATTTTTATTTTCTATTTCATATTAACGGGGAACAGTTTCTCGAAGTAGGATCTGTCTTTCCTAAACCTGGACTTACTATTGCAGTTTGACAGCTTAAACAACACGCTGCGATCATTTCAGGTTGATAGGAGTTACACCCAAATAGTTATCTGTGTCCTTTGAAAGTTCGATGAACCAGGGGACTGTTTTCATTGACAACCTGTATAGTCTGTTGGGGAGAAACAGTGACTCGGGCTCCCTGAGGAGCAGCCTGAATTCGGATTGTCCTGCTATCAGGGCATAAGTCACTCTCACATTTATTTTTGACGACAAGCATCTGGGTGAGGAAAAGTGGAGGGGGTGGAATTTTGAAAGGTAGGTGTGGGCACATTGTTACTTCTCTTGGGTGTACACCTAGGAGTGAAATTGCTGGGTCATATGGTAGCTCCGTGTTTAACTTTTTGAGGAACTTTTTCCCAAAGTAGTTGTCCCAAGTTATATTCTCCCCAGCAATGTGTAGGAGGATTTAATTTTCTCCGCATTCTTGTCAAAACTTGTTCAGTCTTTTTGATTATAGCCATACTTGTGGGTATGAAGTAGTATCTCATTTTGGTTTTGATTTACATTTCCCTGATAGCTAATGATACTGAATACACTTAGTGGCGGTTTGTATCTTCTTTGGAGTCTTTTGTCCATTTTTTGACTGGGTTTTTCTTTTTATAATTAAATCATATTGACGTTATTTTGTTGTTATATTATGCTATAATCTCTGTTTATGCCAGATTTCTTTCTTTTTTCTCTTTTTGATTGGAGTTGAGGGGAGGGGAATAGTAGGGACAATGTTCTCCTTTTCTTGCTCGTATTTCATCCCTCCTTTGCAATCATTTCTTTTGTCCTCAAGATTTGATGCAGTTTGATGACAAAGGAAACAAGACCAATGTACCGGATAAGGCGCGGCAAATTGAGGCTCTTCAGTTGCTCTTCCTCATTCTCCCTCCACCAAATCGTAACCTGCTGAAGTTATTGCTTGATCTCCTGTACCAGACAGCAAAGAAACAAGACAAGAATAAGATGTCTGCATATAACCTAGCCCTTATGTTTGCACCCCATGTCCTGTGGCCAAAAAATGTGAGTGTTCAGGGGAAGAGCAAAGATTGCGAGACTTTTGGGCTGGGCCTTATCCTGTGACTGTTCCTTGGTGAGGCCATCAAGGGTCCAAGGTCTAGTCTTTCATTCAACAAGTTTAGGGACTGACTTTATTAGTTCCTTTAAGAGTCGTCAAACTTGAAGGAGCCACTTCTTGTTAATCTCACTTATAAATCAATCTTTGACAAACCTGAATGGCAATTTGCTAGTGGAAACTCTGGAAAATTGTCACTATTAAGTAAACAAGAATACTCACTTTGACTGGTTAATATAAATTCCTTCCTAACATGAAACCCATCTTGGGAAATCAAATTGATTCCTGAAGATTGCACGGTATAAATTTAGAATAGAGCTCTTTGATCCTTGCTGGGTAGCTTATTTGCTTAGAGTGTTGTCCCAGTACACCAAAGTTGAGGGTTCAATCCTTGGTCAGGGCACATGCAGAAATCAACCAACAAATGCATAAATAAGTGGAACAACAAACAAGTCAGCGTTTCTCTCTTTACCCCCTTTCCTTTCTCTGCCTAAAAAAAAATAAATAGCCCTGGCTGGTGTAGCTCAGTGGATTGAGCGCGGGCCTGCGAACCAGACAATTGCAGTTCGATTCCCAGTCAGGGCACATACCGGGGTTGCAGGCCAGTTTCCAGCAGGCCAGTTCCCAGCAGGGGACGCATGAAAGGCAGCCACACATTGATGTTTCTCCTCCTCTCTCCTTCCCTTCCCCTCTAAAGATAAATAAATAAAAATACTTAAAAATAAACAAATAAATAAATAAGTAAAAAAAAATAGAGCTGTTTAATCTTACAGGATAATGTCACTAAGCTTTTAGATGACATGTAGAACAATCCTGCTTTGTCCTAACTATCCTGAATGTGCTTCTTATTACTGAGAACATGGTCTTCTCAAAGACTTACATGAAAAATAGATTATCTAAAATCTTTTGACCTGATTCTTGGTCTGGAGGTACATAGGTTCATATCCCTGACCATTCATAGCACAGGTTTTACTGTATGATGAACTGGGAGCCAGGTTACTTGAGTCGGAAGCTGCAAACCAGCTGTGGCCTGTATTCTTTACTCTTTCTATGCTTTAGCCTCCTCCTCTGTACATTGGGCATAATAATACCTTTCCCACTTACCTGACAAGGTGGTTGGCAAGATAATAAAAATAGATGGATATAGTTGACTTATATTTGGGGGATATAAGAAATGAGAAAAGGAAGGTAAAGAAGGGGTTATATGGTACATTTTTACTTAACAAGTAACTAGTGAAAAAAATAATACAAAGTGCCCGGGCCAGAAAGCTCTCCCCAGAGAAAGGTTGTGGGGGGCGGGGGTGAGGGTGGGAGGATGGTTGGATGACGAGAAGGAAGGACACACCAATGCCTGTCCACATTAAGGATTTTAGAACCAGCTAAATGAAACTGTGGGAAAGGAGTGAGTGAGTAATCCGTGCCTGTAAAGAAAAGTATATAAGAGATCTTACTAAAAGCAAAAATTAAGTACTAACAATACGTGTTGAGGGTGAGGGCTTTAGGATAGTAGAGATGCTTAAGTGCTTACAACAGAGGCAGGAGAAACAGGAGAAGGCAATCAAATGTGACCGTGTGCTCTCGAGAGACAGATGACACCTCCGGTGTCAGTCGGTAGTGACAGTTCTCTTGTCTTTGGAGAAACTCCAGCTTCTCTGAAGAGGGAATTGGTGTCCTTGGTGGCTGGTATAGATTCTGTTCTTCCTGACTTTTTCCCAGACTAGATCTTTAGCAACTCTGCTTGCATGTCTGATTCTCAAGCAGGATCAGGAAATGAAGATTTGTTCTTAAGGATTTCCTGGTCACTGCAGAGATATATGGTTCCTCTAGATTTTGTCATTCTTGTGGAAATATTGAGACTTTAAAAGAATAAGCTTATTGGTAAGTAAATGGAGTATCTGCCAATTCTTAATCCCCCCTTTTTGTTTTTGTTTTTCTCTGCATAGGTCACTGCAAATGACCTTCAAGAGAATATCACAAAGTTAAACAATGGGATGGCTTTTATGATTAAACACTCCCAGAAACTTTTTAAGGTAGGTAAGGAGTGGGATTGGGTGGTAACAGACGAGGAGGGTGGAGCAGGGTGTGATTCTAGGGAGGGCTGTAAAAATGAGCAGATAACAAAGGGGGTCAGAAGAGCAGATTAGACAGCAAAACCTGGAGGGAGCAACCCAGGTAGGGGGATAGCAGGTACCTGAAGGCTGCTAGGGCTCTGCCCCTGGTAATTGGCTTCGCAGTCTGGCCATCCTTCCTATTTCATCAGGAACCACGTATGTTAGCCACTGAGTCGTTTTATCCTGCCTGCTTCCTGCCAGTAGAATTTGGAGGGTCCGACAGCCTTCTTTCATTTTGAACTTTGTCCCTTTTAGTCCAAAGTAGCTGGGCTGCCAACATAATTTTCTCAAGAACTGTGTGGGTCTTCTGTGGATTTCAGCGGGATTTACTTCATTAGACAAAAGCCACATGTACAAATCTTTTGAAGAAAAACCCTTCTGTACTTGATCTCTTGCTGAGAAGGCTGAGGGACAATACCTTTAAGCTTCCTAGGGACCCTCTGGTTTGATTGAGAGGATCTTCGAAGCACACCTTGACTCTCTTGAAAGGGCCCTTTGTGTGACTGAATATTCTGACCTTTTGATGTTTGTAAGATTTTATAAGTAAAGGTTGCACAGTCACATTCTCGGTCTTTCCTTTAGAGCTCACTTTTCTGATAGCGAATTTCTTAATTTTAGCATCTTTTGCTATCTGGAAAGGCTGAAAATTTTTAAGATTATCCAGTCTGGTTTCTTTTGTTTCCTCTTTAATTTTTTTTTTTTTTTTTGTGGTAAAATACCCATGACAAAATTTATCCTCTTAACTGTGTTCAGTGGCATTAATTTGTCAATGTAAGTAGCATCCAAAACTGTAGAGAATTTTTATAAGAGTTTGTTTCAACCAAACTGATGACATATGCTGAGGAGCAAGATCTGAAAATGCTCCGGAGAATAACTGTTTTGTAGCTTCTTTTGTGCATTTGAAATTGAGGGGGGAATGTAAGGAAGATCATGTGGAGGTAGGAGAAAGCAAGGCAGGGATTGGATCATGGGATAGTTAACCAGATTATGCTTTCTTGAGGGTTAATCCTCTCTTCAAGGGGCATTACTCTGGTATTTCAAAGGTGTATTAACCTAGAGACACAAGAACAACAGACAGGGCTTGCTTATAAACCTCTTACTGAAGAGGATAGAGGACTTGGTTGTGACCACCCACCATGACCTCCCCAGGTAGAAATTTATGATCAGATCACCCTGTGAGGTCACTGTCCTAGAACCCCCCCTTTCACAGATTAGATCCCCATTGCTGTGCAGTGATCACCACCATCCATCTCCAGAGCTCTTCATTTTGCAAAACTGAAACTGTATACTTGTACTTCATTATCAAGAATTTTTATTAAGTGACTTAAAATGACACAGATTTCTTTTTTTAAAAAGATTTTATTTATTTATTTTTAGAGAGAGTGGAAAGGAGGGAGAAAGAGAGGGAAAGAAACATTGATTGGCTGCCTCTCTCAGGCCCCCAACTGGGGACCTGATCCACAACCCAAGCATGTACCCTGACCAAGAACCTTACCAGTGACCTTTCATTCTCAGGCTGGCACTCAGTCCACTGAGCCACACCAGCCAGAGCAAATTTATTATCTTAATGGGTCTGTAGAAGTCTGAGATGAGCCTCACTGGGCTGAAATCAAGGTGTTGGCAAGGCTGTATTTCATCCTGGATGTTCCAGGAGAGACTCTGTTTACTTCCTTTTTTCTACCTTCTAGAGGTTGCCCACATTCTGTGGCTCACTGTCCCCTTCCTCCGTCTTCAAGGTCACCAATGTTTCACCTCTGACCATTCTTTTCTAGTCACATTTCCTCTGACTACTGCTGGGAAATGGTCCCTGCTTTTAAGGACCCATGTGATTACATATTGGACCCACCCTGATAACCTAGGATAATCTTCCCACTGCACGGTCCTTAACACTAGCAAAGCCCACCCCCCACTTTTTTAACCATGTAAGATAACAAATCACTGTGGAGGATTTTGAGAGTACAGGCCATACAAACTTTAAAGAAAAACTAGAGCAGTCTCTTAGATGTTCTTTAGCTTGGTACAAATTCTTATGATCAGAGTCTTTCAGTCTGTGTTTTTACTGTTTTTTTTTCTTGTGTCCTACAGATCCCTCTTTCAGCTTCTCATCCGTGCAGTTTTGATTCTTGTTCGCTACTCGATCTTTGTTTCCAGGCTATTATGAGCACTGTTTGAGCCTTTGTTGATCACTCCAGAGAAAGAAAGCTTTTTTAAAAAAGATTTTTATTTTTTAGAGAGAGGGGAAGGGAGGGAGAAAGAGAGGGAGGGAAACATCAATCAGTTGCCTCTCGCCCGCCCCCAGCCCGGGATCTGTCCTGCAATTCAGGCATGTGCCCTGACTGGGAATTGAACTGGCAACCTGTCGGTTCGCAGGCTGGTGCTCAATCCACTGAGCCACAGCCGCCAGGGCTGTTTTTGTTTGTTTTTAAAGTTTATAGAATAGGTGGTGTGGGTTCTGTCATATTCTTGTTTGGAGGAAATTCTTTTTAGTCTAAGTTTTGTTTTATAGTATTCAAGCTAAAAATTAAATTGTAGATAAAATCTCTGTCAGAAGACTTTTTTTAAAACAACTCTATTATGAAATTTTTCAAATGTAGAGAGAAGTACCAAGAATAAAACAGTGAACATTCATGTAACTCTCCCTCAGATTCAGCAGATGTTCAGCTTTATCTCTATATTTTCATACATTTTTTGTGGTTGTGATAGTAAATGGCAGACCTCATTGTCCTGCACCCTAAATGCTTAAGCTCATATCCCCTGAGAGTGAGGATATCCTTCTGTCAGTCACAGTCCCATTATCATATCCCAGATAATCAACAAGAATTTCTTCACTCATCTTAAGATTATATTTTGCTGCTGCTTTTTAAAACATAAGCTAATTGAGGTTAATGAATTCCTTTTGATTATTATGTCATTCTTGAAATCTGGAACAATCATGCGTTTTCTTTACATCACGGATATATTGAAGTATTCAGGCCAACTGTGTTATAGAATATCCCACATTCTAAATTAGTCTTACTGTTTTCTTGAGGCCATTTAACTTGTTCCTCTATCCCCTTCTATAATCAATAGTTCCTATAAACTGAAGTTAGATTCAAGTTAAGCAATTTTGGCAAAGATGTTTGTGTATATCATATTGCATCCTATTACATCAGATTACAAGGCACAGAATATCAGATTGCCTCACTCTTATGATGCTTATTTGCTAACTGCCACATATCACAATATAAATATACATATTTTTCCCCCTTTGGTACAGTAAGTAACCTGCAGAGAGACTGTATGATATAATAATTTTAGAATCCATTGATAATCCTGCTGGAATCTATGATTAGACTGGGTATTATAAAATAGTGGTTTTTCTCATTCTATTATTTGATCTTTATTAGCTGACTTTCTTCCTTTTACAATAGTTTTCCTTTTTTCTGTCTAATTCTTTTTTTTATGAATATCACTATAGACTCATATTTTTAGTTGTTCAAAGTGTTAGTCAAATTAGTACTAATTTTGATAATCAGATTGTCGCAGATTTGGCTAGTGATTGTCCTTGACAGCTAGTTCCTGTTGTGTCTTTTTGACAGGACTCTATTACTCTTCGAGTGTCTCCTTTCCGGCATAAAATGTCCCCAGCTGCCTTGGGTGGGGGGCTCAGTTGGTTAGAGCATTGTCCTGATAAGCCAAGGTTGTGGGTTCAATCTCTTATCAGGGTTCCAACAGGAAGCAACCGATGACTGCATAAATAAGTGGGACAACAAATTGATGTCTCTCTCTTCCTCTCTCTAAAAATCAACCAATCAAAAAAAAAGTGGAAAAAAAAGTGTCTCCTGCTCATTCTGTTCTTGCTTTACCCTGGGACTAGAATCAGTAATTTTCTCCAAGGAGCCTCAGTTTCTTTAACACTAGGTTTACTCATTGTTTCTGTGGTGTCATTGGCTCTTTGAGGGCAAGGAAGTAGACTAAAATTTTTAACAAAAATCAGTAGTTCATATTAATATTTCCAGTTAAGATTTAGCATTACAGAGCTTTCCCTTGACTTCTACCTTATATTTGTATTTCTTTCCTTTATTGTAAATTCCAGATTTTTATAGCATTTATGTATATTATTTGCTTTATCCTATAATGTACATAAATTGGTTTCAAAATAATATAACTGTTACTACTAACAGCAAACCTACATAAACCCACTGATGGAAGTTTAAGATTTCCTTGCAGTTTCTTTTCCCTTGGATCTATCTCACTGAGGATGTGTCATCAGAATACAGTTTGCAAAAGTTAGGGGAGATAATTCCTTTCTCTGTGCTTGTATTATCAATTTGATATACAGGTATGTTTATCTTTCCTCTTTGGGCTCAGTTTTAGGGTTTGCCTTTTTTCCTTTGGATTTAATTTTATTTTTTGAATCTGTAGTATATTTTCATGGTTGAAAAGTCAAAACTGCATGAGAAGGTTTACTCAGACAAATCTCAGTTCTTTTCTTTATTATTTACATTGTTTTCTAGTTTATCCTTAGTGTTTCTTTTTGTAAAACCCAATAAATGTGTATATTTGTATATTCTTATTTCCTCTTCATTTTCCCCCCAATACTTTATATACTGTCACGACAGTAGTTCCTGGAATCACTCCATGTCAGTTCACATAGTGTTTTTTCCCTTCTTCCTGCCCTCGCTCCTTCCCTTCCTTCTTTCATTTTTAATGACAGCATAGGATGGCATTGAACGGATGTATAAAAGTTCATTCAGTCAGTCCCCTGTTATCAGATATTTGAGGTGTATTTAATCTTTTGATTAATCTTATCCAAAAGTATTTGTTTCTGAAGTTATATTTTCAGGATAGATTTGTAGAATTGAGATTTCTGGGTAGATGGTAAATGCAAATGTAATTTTCTTAGACGTTGCTAAATTCTCTTCCATAGTGGTTGTATATTATTTCATACTTACTAGGACTATATCAGGATTCTTATTACAGGATTCTGAGCAGTAGAGCAGTAAGCTGAGTTCTTCTGTGTCTGTTGTTACCCCACAGGAGTTCTAAATGGCATTTTCTATACAGCGATTCTAAAATATGACCATTTGTAGTTTGTAAGAATTTTAGGGGTGGCTTTGGTCAAGTGTAAGCATGACTACAAATATGTATATTTTTGTTTCTGGCTCATTTGAGTATTTTATGCCATATTTGATTCTGAAAACAGGAACAACTACAGTGGTGTCTTCCCACAATTTTCCCATCAGATTTGTTGATATTATCTTTTTGGTGGAATCTATAGAATAGGACATTTTGAAGAATGTTTTTCAAAGTAATCTGGCAGTCAAATTATTTCAAGAACTGTAGGGGACCAGTTCGTCTTGGCCTGGCAAATGTGACTCAGCTCTGTATGGAAAACCTACAGATGCGAAGTGGTGGACAGGAGCCAGACCTTCAAACCGAGTTTTCCCATGGGAATCAGGCCTAGAAAATACTTACAGACTGTTATGGCTTGCTCTTGCTAAAACCCCCTCACCCTGGTCTAAAGCGACAGATGTATATTGTTTATCCTCAAGGTAACTCCCAAAACCCGTGTGAGCTCTCCCAAGGACAGAGCTAAGGAGCTCATTGCCATCCCCCTCTGCATGCTATTTCTGTTTCCTTGATTGTACCTAAAATGTAGATAATAATGCTCTGTGTGATAGATAATAAGTCTTTCTTTGATGTAAGACCCCAGTAAAACAATAAAAGCCTGTCTAGGCAAGGGTCAGGGCACTCCCCTCTTCAGGGAGTGGCCGAGGCACCACAGGCACTCTCCCCTTGAGAGAGTAGTCGTGCCTGTTCCCTTTTTCCACACAGGGTTGTTTTGCCTGTGCATTGATTCTCGTCGTATACCACAACAGGCGGACTCTGCTGGTTGGGGTCTGCAACAAAGAACCACTGTCCTCAAGTCATAAAAAATTTTAGATACTATAATTATTTGGTCTTGGTTTTCTTTTATAACCTGCCCAGGCTCCTGTTTACATTCGGGAATGTGCCAGACTGCACTATTTGGGCTCCAGAACTCAAGCATCAAAGGTAAGAATAGGAAATTGCTTTTAGACCAAATAAGGAGAACATAAAATTAATGGCATTTTAGTGTACTCTCACTCCTGGGAGCATACCTGAGCCTTTCCCTTCCCCCTCTTCCTCTTCCTCAGTGGTGTGTCTCCTCAACTCTCAGAGACCCCATCAGACTTGCAAAAGAGGAGCAGTGGGCAATGGCAGCTTGTCCCTGGCTAACCCCCAGACCTGTCTCCAAGGCCCCCTTTCTCTGATTTTCCAGTGAGCCAAAGAAGACCCACCTCAGCTCATTTCTTTTCTTTTTTTTCTTTTAAGATTTTTATTTTTTATTTTTTAAATTATATTTTATTGAGTATGCTATTATAGTTGTCCCAATTTTTCCCTCTTTCCACCCTTCACCCAGCACTCCCTACTCCTTCAGGCAGTCCCCCCACCATTGTTCATTTCCATGGGTCATGTGCACGTGTTCTTTGGCTACTCCATTTCCTATACTGTACTTTACATCCCCTGGCCCCTGGCTATTCCGTAACTACCAATTTGTACTTCTTAGTTTCTTTACCTCTTCATCCATTACCCTACACTCCCCTCCTATGTGACAGCCATCAAATGCTTTCTGTGTCTGTGATTCTGGGCCCAAATGAAAGAACAGATCAAAACTCCAGAAAAAAGAGCTAAACAAAATGGAGATAAACAACCTATCAGATGCAGAGTTCAAAACACTGGTTACAAGGATGCTCAAGGAACTCAGTGAGGACCTCATCAGCATAAAAAAGGATCCAGTCAGAAAAGAAGGATACATTAATTGAAATAAAGAAAAATTTATAGGGAATCAACATCAAAGTGGATGAAGCTGAGAATCAAATCAATGATCTGGAACATAAGGAAGCCAAACACAATCAATCAGAATAACAAGAAGAAAAAAGAATCCAAAAAAATGAGGAAAGTATAAGTAGTCTCTGGGACAACTTCAAATATTTCACCGTTTGCCTCATAGGGGTGCTGGAAAGAGAAGAGAAAGAACAAGAAACTGGAAATCTGTTTGAAAAAATAATGAAAGAAAACTTGCCTAATTTGGTGAAGGAAATAGATATGTAAGTCTAGGAACCACAGAGTCCCAAATAAGATGGACCCAAAGAGGCCCACACCAAGCAAGACACATCATAATTAAAATGCCAGGGTTAAAGATAAAGAGGGAATCTTAAAAGCAGCAATAGAAAAACAGTTAGTTACCTACAGGAAGTTCCCATAAGGTTGTCAGCTGATTTCTCAAAAGGAACTTCGCAGGCTAGACAGGATTGGTAACAAATATTCAAAGCCATGAAAGGCAGGGACCTATAGCTAAGATTGCTCTGCCCAGCAAAGCTATAATTTAGAACCAAAGGGCAGATAAAGAGCTTCCCAGACAGGAAAAAAAACTAAAGGAATTCATCATCACCAAACCATTATTACATGAAACGTTAAAGGGACTTATTTAAGAAAAAGAGAGTCCAAACTATGAACAATAAAATGACAATAAATACATATCTATCAACAACTGAGTCTAAAAAACAAATTCCTTTTTTATAACACTTCTAGAGAGCGAAGCAGTCCCTACCTAATCTCTCTCCTGTTGCTTCGTCTATCCTAGGCTCTTGTTTCACTGTTCCCAGCTTTTAAAAACATATTCTGAAAATAAAATTAATGGAGTTTTAAAACATAGTATGTAATCAAATCAAAGCCATAGAAAACAAAATGTTTTTATTAGATTTGAAAATAATCTAGTCAAGGGCCTTGTTTGATATTAGAAATAGGAATTCTTGTGGCTAAGTTTGCTTATTTTCTAGTTATGAGAGGGGTCTCATTTGCCATTTTGGGAAAGAAAGTGTAGCTTGAGTAAATCCTGATGACTTGGTTAGTTTCTTTCTGGGGAGATCTATTTTGAGATAAGAAAAAGACTGAGAAGAAAGTTATACTTTGAAATAAAAATGCCCCTACACAGAGTCTGCTCTCTGAGGCGCTTCACTGGCGACTGGGCTGTGTGTTTAAAGGCTTTCGGGAAAGTCCGCATGCATCCTTATCGCATATGGGATAAACAGTCTGCAAATGGCCAATGTATTAAATGTTTTATGGTGATAAAAGTACAATTTTACGCAATGCAGTCTTATTTCAGGGTCAGTAGTAAGGTACTGACAAAACGCTCTATCAAATAGCTAGAAGACTTGAGACCACATGAGCTTAGAAAGCAAATGTGTGATGTTAGTAACAAGATGACATATGATTATTGAGCTTTAGAAGTAACAAGTTAAAAAAAATTCCACAAGTACTTTTTCATAATTTTTATTTAGTTTGCCTTGTTTAGAAACTGAAGCTGTCATCTTACGCTCTTTTTTCCTGCTCCTGTATGTTTCTGGTGTGACCAGGAACACAGTATTTGATTCAACTAGTTTAACTGGGGTGTGATTTTTCTTAGAGAGTTGTTATTGTCCCTCCACCACTGCTACTCAGTTGTCACATCACGCCGTCGTGTGGGAAGGAGCATCAGCCAAGAACCAGTTCACTTGGGCTCAACGATGGGTCTGTCACTTAGTATTTAGAGAAGTTTAAACATATGGCTGAGCTTCATTTTTTTTTAATCAAATAGGAATGATGATACTTTCCTTGTTTACTTCATAGGATAGCAGTGAAAATACATGAGAATAACAAATGCTTTGAACACTGAGCTCTTGTATTACTTTTGGTGGAAATAATTCTGAATGAATTTAGGTTTAGGTCGGGTTAGACTGGGCAGGTCAGGGGAGTAGCTATTAATGTAGTCTGTGATTACAGGTTTCTCTTTATCTGATGAGAGTTTTAGTTTTTTTTTTAAATAAAGTTTATATAGACTCTGAAGAGATGTTTTCTTATTTCTCACCCAAAGACATGCTTAGGGAGAGGGGAAGGGAGGGAGAGAGAGAGGGAGCAAAACATCAGTGTGAGAGGGAAACACCGATCAGTTGCTTCTTATATGTGCCTTTACTGGGGACAGAACCCACAACCCAGGCATGCGCCCTGACCAGGGATTGAATGTGCGACCTTTTGGTGCACAGGACGATGCTCCAACCAACTGAGCCACACTGGCCAGGGCTGATAATAGTTTTTACGCTTTTCTTGTTCCTGGATATAAGAATATACCATGTTCCCCACACCCTTACCTTTCTTTTAGTTCCGGGGTTGTGGGAACCTGGATATAAAGCTGGTAGGATATATTAATTTACTTTTAAATTTTCTCTAGGATGATCTTGATCTGACAACTTCATGTCATTCTGCATCCTTCCAACTGGCAACACCTCAGAAGCGGAACCGGATGGACTCCTGCTGTCATGAGGAAAAGACCCAGCAGCGCACGGAGGAGGCGCTGAGAGAGCTATTCCAACACGTTCACAATATGCCAGAGTCGGCAAAGAAGAAACAGCTCATCAGACAGGTACCGGAGAGCAGGGGAACGGTGACAGGGCTCTAGGAATGTGATCATGGGTGCAGAATCACTGGGGAATATTGTTAAGAATCTCATTTAATATTTGGCTCTTATTGGCTCAAGCTTTGGCTCAGCCATGAAAGCAAACTTGTTTATGGAACCTCAATGCCATCTCTGTGCTGCTGCCCATTAGACAAAGGGGTGGAGACTCTGGGGTTTCCCCAGTTAAACGGAAGGATCCAAGTGTGGTTAAAGTTTCTCTCATCTGGTCATGTACCAAGTTTGCTGAGAGAGAACCAGCAATTGCAATACGAGTATGTTATCCTGAAGTTTAAATCCTTCATATTTTTTTGTCAAATAACCTTTCTGAATTTCAGTTTTCTTTTTCATAAAATGGTGATTGTAATGCCCATGTTGTAAAGATTAGAGGGAATCTCTGTAAAGTGATTGGCATAGCAGAGCAGAAGCGGAAACTCTTAGTAAGTCGTTTACAGTTAGAAAACACTGTTAGCCAAGGGCCTTGATATTAGAAATGGGAATTGGCTAAGTTTGTTTATTTTGGAGTCATGGGAGGTCTTTCATTTGCCATTTTGAGATTGAAAGTGTAGCTTGAGTAAATCCTGCTGACTTGATTAGTTTCTCAGGAAATTTATCTTATCTCAGACCCTCTTGCATTTTAGTTGAATGGGCAAAGTCAGTTTCTTGACTTCTTTTTAAAATTTTTAAAAAGATTTTATTTATTTTAGAGAGAGGGGAAGGAAGTGAGAAAGAGAAGGAGAGAAACATGCAAAAAATACAGTGATTGGTTGCCTCTTACATGCCCCCAACTGGGGACCTGGCCTGCAACCCAGGCATGTGCTCTGACTGGGAATTGAACCAGTGAACTTTGGATTCTCAGGTGTGCACTTAATCCACTGAGCCACACCAGCTAGGGCAGTCTCTTTGCTTCTTATTTAGCTGGGTCCTTCTTGGGGGAAGAGTCTTTGTCTTTAATTTTTTTTTAATAACTAATCTCAACCATAAGGGCAGATTTAAGTGCTCAGAAAATGTTGACTTGAGCTGTTTTTAATAATTGACAGGGTCCTTTAAGAGAAGTTTTCTGTCACTATGAAGTTACTTTGACATCTAGCAAAGTGTGATATGACTGAAATTTTAGAGGGTGTTGGCTGAGTATTTTTACAGATTCAAAGCAGTGTAGTGATTTGATTCTTGGTAGAAATGAAGATAGCAATTCACATAGGACAGGTAGAATGACTTATCTAGAACACTGAGGGTTAAATATGATATAAAGGAAAAGTCTTAACATTGTTTTTTGCTTGCTCTTTTTAATTTTAATTTTTTAAGAAAAACAAATTATAGAGAAGAAGAAGAAGAAAATAAAATCACGCATCCCACCATTGTTTACGTTTTGTCTATTTCTTTCTGTCTTTTTTGGATAACAAATATGGATATATTTTTAAATAGTTTGATTATACCATATACTTTCTTTTACTTCTCCTTTTTCACTAAATATTACAGCATAAGGATGTTCTTATGTCTGTCCGAAAACTCCTTGCCTGCATTAAAAATATTGCTATTAAAATATATATTTTATTGATTATGCTATTACAGTTGTCCCAATTTTTTCCTTTGTCCCCCTCCACCTGGTACACCCACCCCCTCCAGCAATCCCCCCACTTAATTCATGTCTGTGGGATATAAGTTCTTTGGCTATTCCATTACCTATTCTGTTCTTAATATCCCCCTGTCTATTTAGTACCTACCAATTTGTGCTTCTTAATTTTTGTACCTTTTCCCCCCCATTTCCCCCTTCTCCTTCCTAACTAATAACCCTCCAAATGATCTCCTTATCTATGATTCTCTTTCTATTCTTCTTGTTTGCTTAGTTTGTTATTTGGATTCAATTATCAATAACTGTGAATTTATTGCTATTTTATGTTCATTGTTTTAGTCTTCTTTTTCTTATGTAATTAATTCCCTGTAGCTTTTCATATCTTAATAGCTTGGTGATGATGAGCTCCTTTAGCTTTACCTTGTCTGGGAAGCTCTTTATCTGCCCTTCAATTCTAAGTGATAGCTTTGCTGGATAAAGTAGTCTTGGTTGTAAGTCCTTGCTTTTCATGACTTTGAATACTTCTTGCCAGTCCCTTCTAGCCTGCAAGGTTTCTTTTGAGAAATCAGCTGACAGTCTTATGGGAACTTCTTTGTAGGTATCTCTCTGCTTTTCTCTTGCTGCTATAAGATTCTCTCTTTATCTTTGAGCTTTGGCATTTTAATTATGCTGCGTCTTGGTGTGAGCCTCTTTGGGTTCATCTTGTTTGGGACTCTGTGCTTCCTGGGCCTGTATGTCTATTTCCTTCACCAAATTAAGGAAGTTCTCCTTCATTAATTTTTCAAATAAGTTTTCAATTTTTTGCTCTTCCAATAGTTTACTTATCTCCATTTCATTTAGTTCTTTTTCTGGAGTATTGTTCTGTTCTTTCATTTGAGCCATATTTCTTTGTCTTCATTTTGGTAGCCTCCCTGTGTTTGTTTCTCTGTATTAGATAGAGCTACTTTGACTCCCTGTCTTAGTAGCATAGCCTATGTAGAAAATTGCTCCTGTTAAAGTTATATGGGATGGAGCCTTAGGTAATTGCCAGGGTGGGGCAACCCTTGTCACGGCCCTGTTGCTCAGTGTTGGGGAGGGCTCGCAGAGGTGATAGTGTTGCTGCTTGGCCTCTGGAGTTTTGCCTGGGAGGAAGCTGTCTCCCAGTACCCACATTTCACTTTCTCCCCATATACCACTGATGTTCTTCCAGCTGTTGTCCTGGTGCTGAATGCCAGAGCAGGTGGGTCTGCATGAGTCCTAAGTCCATTGTGGGTCTTCTAAGAGGAATCTATTGAGAATCCCACAGTTTCTTCTACCCCTCCAAACCCCACTGGTTTTTACAGCCAAAAGTTATGGAGACTTAGCTCCTGGTGCTGGAACCCTGGGCTGGGTGGTCTGCACTGGGGCTCACTCCCGAGGTATCCCTCCTGTTTTTTATCCACCTCCTGTTGTCATCACATTTCTCTGTGCCTCTGGGCACCTCTTCACACCTCTCCATGTGTCTGCCCCCCTGCATGTCTGGATGAACATGGCTTCTTTAAATCCTCAGTTGTCAGACTTCTACACAGCTCAATTTTCTGACAGTTCTGGATGATACTTGTTTTGTAGTCTAGTATTTTTTGCTATAGTTGTGTTCAGGGGTGAGGCATGTTTACCTATGCCTCCATTTTTACTACAAGTCCCCTAAAATACTATTCTTTCTTTTAGAAGAAACTATAATTTTACTATTTATTTTTTTCCATAATTATAAAAATAATGACTATCACTATAGATAGTCAGTGATAGCAACTGGTCAGTGTTTCTGCCTCATGTCAGTATTTCTCTCCCTTTCCCTTTTTCTCCTTTCCCCTCTTCCTAAAAAAATAAGTAAATGAGTCCTTGGGTAAGGGTTTGGAAAAATAAATAAATAAATGAAATTGTGTCATGAACATTTTCCATGTCATTAAAAGGCTATAAACATTTTAATGGTTGCACAATATTTCATCATGTACAACCTAATGTATACATAGGTTGCCGTCCATCGGGCATTTGGGGGAAATATGATCAATTTTTAGTTTATACATTTTTGTTACAAGTATTTCACTGTAGATTTTTCTCTAGAGATGGCATGATCAAAGGGTATGCATTTTGTGGTGGTGGTGGTACATCTGCCAGGTCTCTTTACTATACAGGTCCCTCCCTCTCTTTTATCCCTCTTGTTCCCCCTACACATTGCCAAAGTTTTATTGGAATGAACTCTTAAGTTTGACATAGTTTACATTTAGAGAAAAATTGCAAAGATAGTGTAGAGAATTCTCACATCCCCTTCACCCAGTTTTTTCCTAATGTTAACATTGTCAAAATTAAGAACTTTACAATGCTACATCACTATTAACGTTACAGACTTTATTCAGATTTTACCAGTTTCCTGCCAATATCGTTTTTCTGTTCTGGGGTCCAATCCAGGACACTGCATTGCATTTAAAGATACATACACACGTTACCTCTCCCCAGCCCTGTTTCCACACTTTATTTGTGAAATGAATCAGGTTGCTGATCTCCTTATCTCCCACGGTCTGGATCGTACTGGTTGCATTCTTGTGTTATTTAGGACGTTCCTCAGTCCTCTGTTTGTCATAAACTGGTAGTTAGATCTCATTCTAGAAGCTTGATCTGATTCCCATTCAATTTTTTGGGGTGTACAGCACTTAATTTAATTAACCATTAGACTAATTTAGTAAGTTTGGACTTGTTTTTTGGTGTCATTTCTGCCTTCGTGATTTGCTCACCACCCTACTTACTAATCCGTATATGCACAGACTCACTTATCCCTCGACTTTTCTTGGTATTTACACTTAGCTATTCATATGGTTGTCACAGAATGCTATCAATTGATGGGAGAATATTAACAAAATGTTCCCTATGTTTTCTTTTAGTTTAATAAGCAATCTGTGACCCAAACACCAGGGCGAGAACCGTCTACTCCCCAGGTACAGAAGAGAGCCCGTTCACGCTCTTTCAGTGGCCTTATTAAGGTAGGTGTGTGATCAATTTCAGCCTTGGCTGAGGAAGCTGAAGAGTTTGATTGTTCTTATGCATAAACAGCTTTCTTCTATTCTTTGGGGTCCTATGAAGGGCACTTGTGTAAGGGGATAAGGATAGAATTCGGAAAGGCTTTTATTTTTCTGAGCATTTGCTATGCTTCAAATCAGAGAAGCTTTGGGACCGGAGAAGTGAGGAATAAAAGAAATGAAGGCTCATCCTTCTTTCGGGATTGAGGACAGAGCCTGTATTTCTGAGCTGTGTAGAGAGTCTCTTCTGCTTCGTGACCTGCTTTGTGCTACATACTTCATTATGCAGTTTGCTGAAGTTATGGAGAAGGTAGATGGTTGACAGAGACTAGGAAAATTGTTAGAAAATGGATTTTGTGAGTTTTAGGTAACTCAAATTTTTGTGAGCTTAACATTTGATTAGTTGTATTTTCTTCCTTTGTGTACAATTCATTACAAACCTTGTTTTTAAAACAAATACAGTATGTACTTCTGTGCTGTTGCTGGCATCACTGTTTGCAGATTCAATTTACCAGTCTTTGTGGATAACTGAGCTTGTAGTTGAGGGATATTGTCAACAGGTGGCAGTAGATAACTGGGTTATGGGGTTCAAATTTCCAGCCGTAACTAAAGTAAGCAAGGTTCTGGTTAACTTGGATCAAGGTTAGCACTATTCTGTATTCTACTGTTTTTCTTTTAAAAATTGTTTTAACATTATTAAAATCTATAAGTCTAGCAACAATTAAGGATCTCTTTGCTCGAAATTAAAAAGTGTGCCCTAAAAATAGGTATATACCTTGTAACATATATACTTTTTCCAGGAAGCTGCACTTGTTAGCAGTTGCAACTTCATCTAACTCTAATTTTGGTCCTAGTTAACGTCATTGATAGAACTTTAGAATTCACTCTCAATCCTGATCCCCTGGGGGATCAGGAACCTCTGGAATATTAGGTTTGCTTGATGTTAAAATTTCCTTTGGTATTTACAGAGAGAAAAGGCAACAAACAAAATGGGAGAAAATATGTGTAAAACATATATCTGATAAGAGGCTAATATTATCCAGAATATAAAAGGAACTCTTACAATAGCACCCCTCCCCCCAAAAAACCCCAAACCAATGAAAAAATAGCCACAGGTCTGTAAACAGATATATCTAGAAAGAAGAGATACAAATGGCCAACAAACACATGAATATGCGCTCAGTATCACTTATCATCAGGGAAATGAAAATCCCCGCCATGGTGAGATGCCAGCCCATAACCACTAGGTGGCCGTGCTCAGAAAAGACAGAAGGCGAGCGATGGCGAGGTGTGTGTAAGCCAGACTGCCTGTGCGCCCTGGCGGGGTTGTAAAACGGAGTGACCACTATGGAAATCAGAGTGGTGGTTTCTAAAAACATTACAGTTACTGTATGGTCTAATAATTTCACTTCTGGATATACGAGTATACCCCCACCCCACCAATTAGAAGCAAGTTATACTAACAGGCATTTGTACACCACATTTATAGTAAGCATATTTATAATAACCAGAAGGGAGAGGACATTGTGTCCACTGACAAACCAAATGTGACACATACAGTGGGACACCAGTCAGCTTTAGAAAGCAAGGACATTCTGATCCATTCTACAAATGGATGAACCTTGGAAACATTGTGCTAAGTATAATAAGGCAGTCACAAAAGAACACGTGTTGTATCATTAAACTTATATGAGGTACCTAGAATGGTCAAGTTCTTGCAGGCGGAAAGTGGAAGGGTTGTCAGGGACTAGGAATGTGAGGGGAACCGTAGTTACTGTGTGATGGGTGCAGATGGAAGGTTCTGGAGATGGATGGTGGTGAGTGTCGTACGACACTGTGACTGTGCTTAATGCCACTGAACTGTGCATTGCAGATGGTTAAAGTGGCGGATTTTATGTTATGTCTGTTTTATCATAGTTAAAAAAAATTCCCATTGTTAGAACTGTAGACATCCATTCACCTGCTTAGACGTGGCAGATAAAATGAACATCCTTGGTTCATTTTACTTGGAAGTCTGTCATTCTCTCTGACTTCCCTGTGTGGGGATGATTGATAGCAAGAAAAGCTAGAGTCAAAGAAGTTTTTGTTGGTCAAACCAGTGTTCTTTAACTGAAGGTAGATGGGTATAGTGTTCTTTTCACAGTGAGCTCTGCTGCAGTTGGTTTAGATGTGTTGCTAATTGTTGCTTGAAATGTAAATATATTGCATCCTCTTGGCAGCTGCCCATGACTTTATTGAGAGGGAATTCAGAGCTTTAGAATTACAAAGGAGTTTATAATTCTGTCAGGATACAACATTTTAGAACAATAATTTTAAACACAAATATTAGTACATTTTGTAAAATGAAGGGTAAAGTGTTTTCATTATAAGCAAAGAGGCTTTTGGGCTAGTAGTAGATGTAGGTTTCAGCTCAATGCCAGTGGAGCAACATGTCTTTTAAATAAAAGTTCATTGGAGGCTTTACAGCCAGGCCTTTGGCCCCAGCATCCCTAAATCAGCTTACCCTGGGGTGCTGTCTGACTTCCGGAAGGAGTCAGTTGAACATTTCTGTTTTACCTATTTTATTTGTATCCTGCTTTGATTCCTTTTTTGGGGGGTGAGGAGGGCTAGACTTTTTCCTCCAGAATTTCCCTCATGTAACTAATTTATCACATCAGAACATTCTGAGTATGGCTGGTAATATTTATATTGTAGGATTAAAATTATTTATTTATTTATCTTTTTAGAAGGGAAGGGAAGGAGAGAAGGAGAGAAATATCAATGTATGGCTCCCCTGCTGGGAACTGGCCCCTGCTGGGAACTGGACTGCAACCCAGGCATGTGCCCTGACGGGGAATTGAACTGCGATCTTTTGGTTCGCAGGCCCGTGCTCCACTGAGCTACACCAGCCAGGGCCTATATTGTAGGATTTAATGTTCTAGTTTTCATATGTTCTTTTTTGGGAATTCAAATTATTCCCTGAGAAGGAAAAAGGGAAGATTTCTCCAAAGACGGTGGAATTGTTACTGCCAGCTGTTACATTAGGTCACACCAACTTCTAAGCTGTTCAGAGATGAAAGGGCTTTTAGTCTCGTTCTGCGTGTCCGTGCAGTCATGTGACCCTCTAAGAAGGCCTGTACCCTCCTGTGGCTGTGTTAGAAAGTCTTAGAGAAGTTCTCCAAATTTCCCAGTCCTGGGCGAGGACACGACAGGAAAGCAAAGGCGTACGTAGCTGGACCCAGTGTAACTGTTTTTGAGTTGGGAGGGGAGGGGAGGACTCTTAACTGCCAGAGATAACATGTCTGGGGAAGAAATTGTACGCGTAAGCAACTGGTGTTTCTTTTATGGTCTCAAGCATACTGTGATTGCCTGTATTAGCGTGTTTAAATCAACCATAAAGTTGCTTTTAATGCGGCAGTCTTTTTAAATGTAGAGGTAAAGTGATCGCCTAAAGGCAGGCGATAATTTCAGGGCTTTCTTTTTCTCTTGTTTTGTAAAACAGTTTGCCTGCCCTCCTTCGTATAAAATGGTCTGGGAGAATTGATTAGGAAGCTGAGATTTTCTTAACGAAAGAAACTTGTGTTTAAGGCCAGAATAGCTGTAATAGAGGTAGAGCAGCCGTTTATAAATCCAGTATTTTCTCTTTCTTAATCAGCGGAAGGTTCTGGGAAATCAAGTGATGTCGGAAAAGAAGAATGAGGCCCCTACTCCGGAATCTCTAGCGGCTGGTGAATCGAAGAGAGCCAGCAAAGAAAATCTGCGCTTAGTAAGATGCCATTCTGTGCGCTTCCTCTGTGTATGTGTGCACTTGTAGAAAGGGGGGGGGTGGATACACTGCCTCCTCTTTGTGTTTCTTATGTGAACTATGTGAACTTATGTTTCTTATGTGTTTCTCTTTGTGAACTATGTCTTTTTCTCAATTAGTCCTTTTATTTATACTGACTGTCATCTTTCTATAGGTGTTTATAGATTCATTCAACAAACACATTTTGAGTTCAAGGAAGACAGGGCCAGTTGTTGTAAGCAAAGAAGACAAATACAGTGAAATAGCTCTGTGAACGCAGAAGTGCTGGAGAGAGCACTTCTCATTAGGAGACTCCACGGGGTGGGTAGCGTTTGAGCCGGGCAGCCTGGCGCTGCATCACCCGCAGAGGAGTCCTCCAGGGTATCCCGGGCATGGCTACTCAGGAGATATAAGTATGTCAGTAAAACTCTTCACATTGAAATAGAACCAGTAAATAATTCCTCTGTTAGCAAAGCCTGTCTGTAGGAATGCCATAGAGTATTGAAGCCACTATAAAATGTTCTTGTTACAGCTGTTTCCTGGGTCTCCAGCTGTTGTGACGACACCAACAATACTGAAATGGTCTGAGGGGAAAAAAGAGGGGAAAAAAGGTACTAACTGTACTTGCTCTGTGTTCTTACTGAATGTGGTTCCTTTCTGCATCTAGTCAGTCAGTAGCATTTTAAAAATTCCCAGTGTGGTATGGTTGTAGTTAGAAGCAATGTAAAAATTACAAGTCTGGGCCCTTGCCCTTGAGTTTACTTAGCAGATGGTTATTGAACATCTACTCAGCACTGTCCCAGGTGCTGAGGGGCCGAGCTGTGAACACAGGCCCGCCCGCTCCCTGTGTTCCTGGACAGATGGGACACATGTAAAGTATCTTCAGAGTACTTGTTAAACAGATTAAAAGCCAATAACTAATTTGTGAAACCAAGTACAGATATGCTCAGTGAACATGAAATAGTTATGCTCCTTTTAGCTGTGGACTTCAGCTGTGTTTATTCAGTGAGGTTTTCCAGGTAGGTAGCTCCTGCTGACGGACGCTGGCAGTCACATACAGGATGTTTTTGAGGTTTAGGACAAAGAGGACTATTTAATGCCAGGACTGCTGGTTGCCCGGGTTTTTCTGGCAAAAGGCAGCAGCTACTGTGCTTTCCTTCAAGGAATGTGTTTTACTGGAAAGACCAGGGGGTTTGTAGTGAGACCTGACTGGAGTCATCATTCCTCTGGCCGAGGAAAACCATCCACCCTCTTTGAGCCTAAGTGTCCTCCTCTGAAAAGGAGGATAGTAGTTGTATCTGCTTGAGAGACTTCTTTTGAGGCTCAATTGAAATAATGTTTTGGAAGCACATTGTGATTATCTAAGGATAAACAAGTGGTCATAATTGTTACTAAAGACAACTGGATGAGACTTGGTCTTGTTTTATTACGCTTGTGTGGCAGCAGAAGTGATCTTTGGTTTGACAGGCTCATTTTATGTCTGAGACTTGAGCACAATTACTATTGAGACATCAGCAATAGAAAGAGAACAAAAGTCCAGTATTTATGGATACATCTTTATAGTGTTCCAAAAGATTAGATTTCAGTACAGTTTCCTTACTTATCCTTGAATAAATTATCTGAACTCTTTTCTTTCTACCTTGCTTCTGATTTCTAGCTGGGCTCTTTGATTGAGGCATGTTTGGTATTTGAGTTATGCGTGTCTAAATAGTTCTCCCTATATATCCATAGGTCAAAACCAAGCATAAGGTATTTTTGAAGGATACATTATTTTGTATTAGTTACACCTTTTGTTGCTTTCATTTTTTTAATGTTTTTAAAAAAGATTTTATATATTTATTTTTATAGAGAAGGGAAGGGAGGGAAAGAGAGAGGGAGAGAAACATCAGTGTATGATTGCCTCTTGCACACCCCCTACCAGGAACCTGGCCCACAACTCAGGCATGTGTCCTGACTGGGAATTGAACCAGTGACCCTTTGTTTCGCAGGCTAGCACTCAATCCACTGAGTCACATCAGCCAGGTCTCATTTTTTAAGATAGCCAAGAAATAGTTAAATCTTTCTATTATCGACAACTCTGCTTTTGGAAGAAATACATTTAAAAAAACAAGCCAGTTTAATATAATAATTTACCAAGAAGTTTTAGAGCAGGGATGCTTGCCTTGTTAACTGTGGACTTCATAAAGCTCTAATACAGTTCCTGGTACCGTTGATGTAATTTCATATATAGGCTCATTTGTGCATTTTTCTGGCAGAGAGAATATGTATTTTTTATTAAATTCTCAAAAATGTTAGTGATTCAGAAAAGTTGAGGCCCACTGATAATGACCTTCCATAGGATTAGGCAATGGCGTTTTCATCATGCTCTCTCCCTGGTCACTTCCTCTATCTCAAAATGTGCCTTCCTTGGTTGCCATGATGTTACACAAGTCTTGTTCTCCTCCTTCCTCTTTAGTTCTCTTCCTTCTCTGCAGTAGCTGACTGTCATTTTTGAGAGTAAGCTACTGCACCTCCACCTTGTTGTGCTTTTCAGAACTCTGCCTTAAGTTCTTGGCCCACCTCTGCCCTTACTTTCCCCTCTTAGCAGGTTGGTTTCCTTCAACAGCTCAGTTCTGCTCCCTGTGTGATAACTGCATCTCCATATGTATAAACTCTCTGCAGTCTCCAGTCCCACCGATTGAATTGCATCATCTTTTTTTTTTTTTACACAATGAATACAACCCTCAATTTTATTGATGGTGATTTTAGAAAAGGAACAAATATTTTTTGAAGAAGGTAATGTAATTTACATCATTTATAGTACTCCAAAAAGGCATGTATTTAGCACAGAGTTTCTCAAACTGGAACTCAATAATTCTGTGCTGTGGGGCTGTCATGTGCATTGTACGATGTTTAGCAGCATCCCTGCTCTCTAGCCACTAGATGCCAGTAGCACCCTTCCCCAGTCGTGACATCAAAAATGCCTCCAGACATTACCAAGTCTGCCGGGGAGAAGGGGGCAAAATCCCCTCCAGATGAGAACCGCTGAATTAGCACCTACTTATTTTTGGGGGATGGGGAGTGTCCCTGCTCAAAACAAGTTGCTGATCTGGTGGGTCATGGAGTTGATTCAGGATGACAGTTTGATTAAGAAAGGCAAACGGTCCTCTCCCTATACCTGGAGGCCCATGTGTTGGGTTCTTAAGCAATCCTTGCATGCTACTACTAAAGACCTTTATATTTATTTATTGTCAGTCTCTGGTATTTAGAGTATAAAAGTGTGTGTGTGAGTGAGAGTGTATATGTGAGTACAGGCACGCACTTATTAATTTCAGCAATCAGAATCTTACCCTTTCTAGACTTCTGGTCAAGATGGTAGCATAGGTAAACATGGCTTGCCTCCTTACACAACCACGTCAAAATTACAACTCAACTACCATCACTCAGAACCATCAGAAATTGAGTTGAATGGAGTCCCACAACTACAGAATTAAAGAAATTACATCCATCCAGACTGGTAGGAGGGGTGGAGACATGGAGATGAGAAATGGGGTGGTCCCACATCCACATGTGGTGGATAAAAATTCAGGAAGGATATCTCAGGAATGAGGGGTCTGAGGCCCACACCAGGCACCTCAGCCCAGGGTTCCAGTGTCAGTAAGATAAGTCCCCATAACTTCTGGCTATAAAAACCAGTGAGGATTGAGTCAGTGGAAGAAGCTACTGGATTCCCAAGCAGTTCCTCTTAAAGGGATTCACACATAGACTTACTCAGACTCACTCCCTCTGAGCTCCAGCACCGGGGTGGCAGATTGAAAAGCACTAGTGGCATACAGGGAGGAACTGCAGTATCCAGCATCAGGGTGAGAGCTAGGGAACAGCTTTCTCCCAGACAGCATGGCAGGCAGAGACCATTGTTCCTTTTCTGAACCCTCCCCCTCATAGAACCACAGAGTCAGCAGTTGGGTGCCATATCTGAGACTCCATCAACCTGGCTTATACTGTTTGCTCAGCCCTGGTGATTCCCTGAGGCTTTCCACCACATAATTTATGGGCCCATCCAAGTTGTTAACAGTGGCTTTGCCATATGAATGGCTTGTCTTGGCCAATTTTCCTAAGTCCTCTCAAATAGGCAATAGCTGGCCTCAGCCAGCCCCTAGCCCCCATATCTCATGCTAAGTGGACCCATGCCTGGCACTAGCAGAAGCTAGCCTAGGTTCACAGCTTGGCTTCGCTTGGGAACCTCCAAGCCCAGCACAAGTGGGAGCCATCTGCAGACTGCTTTGTAGCTCATGCTGGGTGGCCCTTGGCAAAAGGTAGGTGGTGGCTGACCTTGGCCTGTACCATCAGGGAACCCCAGGGCCACTGCACCCAGTGGACAGCTGTAGACCACGTCGGAGCACCACCACCCTACCCCACACAGTGATCCTCCATGGAAGGTGGAGATTGGTGGTCAGTGGTTACAGCCAGTCCTTCAGCTGACGGGCTTGGGTAAACCCCTCCCATTGACCTGCCAATAGCAATCAAGACTGAACTACAAGAGGAAGGTGTACTCAGCTCACATAGAGGATGCACCTTGAGTACACAGCATGGGTGATAGAGGAGGCTGTGCCACTGGACCCTATAGGACTCATACTATATTAAGCCATGATACCAAGATGGAGTCATAGCAGCTCTACCTGATACATAGAAACAAACACAGGGAGGCTGCCAAAATGAGGAGACAAAGAAACATGGCCAACATGAAAGAACAGATCAAAACTCTAGAAAAAGAGCTAAAGGAAATGGAGATAAGTAATCTATCAGATGCAGAGTTCAAAGCACTGGTTATAAGGATGCTCAAGGAACTTAGTGAGGACCTGAACAGCATAAAAAGATCCAGTCAGAATCAAAGGATATACTAACTGAAATAAGGAACAGTATATAGGATATCAATAGTAGAATGGATGGAGCTGAGAATCATATCAATGATTTGGAATATAAGGAAGCAAAAAACAACCAGTCAGAACAAGAAGAAGAAAAAAGAATGAGGAAAGTATAAGTAGCCTCTGGGACAAATTCAAGAGGTCCAACATTCTGCTCATAGGGGTGCCAGAAGGAGAAGAGAAAGAGCAAGAAACTAGGAATCTATTTGAAAAAGTAATTTAAGGAAACATCCCTAATTTGGTGTAGGCAATAGACATGCAGGCCCAGGAAGCACAAAGAGTCCCAATTATGATGGATGCAAACAGGCCCACTCCAAGACACATCATAATTAAAATGGCAAAGGTTAAAGATAAAGAGAATCTTCTTTTCTTTTAATTTTATTTTTTAAGTTTCTGTTTGCATTCACCTATTTAAAAAAAATATTTATTTTTAGAGAGGGGGAAGGGAGGGAGAAAAAGAGGGAGAGACACATCAATGTGTGGTTACCTCTCACGTGGCCCCCCACTAGGGACCTAGCCTGCAACCCAGACATGTGCCCTGACTGGGAATTGAACCAATGACCCTCTGGTTTGCAGGCCAGTGCTCAATCCACTGAGCTACACCAGCCAGGGTGAAGAGGGAGAATCTTAAAAGCAGAAAGAGAAAAGCAATTAGTTACCCACAAGGGAGTTCCCATAAGACTGTCAGCTGATTTCTCAAAAGGAACTTTGCAGGCTAGAAGGGATTGACAAGAAATATTCAAAATCATGACAAGTGGGGACCTATAGCCAAGATTGTTTTACCCAGCAAAGCTATCATTTAGAATTGAAGGGCAGATAAAGAGCTTCCCAGACAAGAAAAAAATGAAAGGAGTTCATTATCACTAAACCATTATTTATTTGTTTATTTATTTTTGGGGTCCTCTCTCTTTTTCTTGATGAGTATGCTTAAAGGCTTGTCAATTTTGTGTGTTTCAAACACCAAACCATTATTATATGAAACATTAAAGGGACTTATTTAAGAAAAAGAAGATCAAAACTATGAACAGTTAAATGGCATTAAATACATATTTATCAACAATTGAATCTAAAAAGCAAACTAAGCAAACAAGAACAGAGACAGAATCATGGATACAGAGAGCCTTTGGAAGGTTGCTGCTACATAGGAGGGGGCTGTGGGGAAATGGGTGAAGAGCTAAGGGGATTGAGAAGTACAAATAGGTGGTTACAGAATAGCCAAGAGGATGTAAAGTACATTTGGCTACAATATAGTAGCCAAAGAACTTTTACACATGACCCATGGGCATGAACAATAGTGGGGGGACTGCCTGAGAGAATGGGGGTGCTGTGTGGAAGAGGGCCAAGGGCCAAATATTGGGAAAACTGTACTAGCATAATCAATAAAATATAATTAGAAAATAATCTTATCCATTCTAATTTATTAATCAATGTTACTCCAATAAATTCAATTAAAAATAAAGATAGCCTCTTACTTATTCTTCAAAGCCCAGCCTAAACCGCAACTCCTCTTTGAAACCTTCTTTAGCTAACCCAGCCAGATGTACTCGCTCCTTTGAATTCTTACTGAGTACACCAAGTGAACTAAAACGCTTACTTCACATGTATTTTCTGTAACTGGTCTGTCTTTTGGAAGGCAGAGGAGGCCAGACTTAGGGGTATACTCGTGGCCTCCTGTCATTTGTTCTTCTCTTCCTCTAAGTGGCGACCATGCCTTGTGCTGTAGGTACCAGTGCTGTATTGTGCTGCTCTCAGCCTATCACTAACCAGTGTTGTGGTTGGGTTGGCCATTGTGGTTCTTATTATGATTGCAAGATGCCCTTCAGGGCATTTTTTTTGGGAAAAAAATAGGTTTACTACTTACAAGACCTAGAAATTACACAGCCCACCTTAGGCTATATAGCAAGGCCATGAGGAGAGAGAGAGTGCATTGGTCTAGAGTTCTGCTTTCACTGGGGCCTAGGGTTTCATGAACTCAGTCTTCACTGGTGAATTTAAGACATATGAGTGGGAATTTAAAGGGTAAGAAAAGAAAAAACATGTGGCCCAAATGGTCACTTACTGAAATCAATATCTCTAAAGCATAGGAGCCTCAGGGGGAGAGGGCCTGGCTCTGTATCTGCTCACTGTGGCTTGGCCATGCATTCATTGGAGAGAGCTGTCTTTGAAGTGGATGTTTCTCTGAAATGGCTGCCTCAGCCATCAAAGCTTAAGTCAGACACTTACGTTACCAAAAAGAAAAGTAGCTGTCAGGAATAACACTGCCATCCACCATGTTGCTGAGGCATCAGAGTTAATGGCAAGGACTTTAACTGCCTGGGTAGCTGATATGTTAAAAGTCAGGGGTAGAAGGGCACATTGTAACACAGAAAGTATACATCTAAATAGGATTATAGTAGCAAATTCTATAATAATTACACAGGCAGTAATTTGAAATTAGCCTGTAGTCATTGTCCCAAACTTGAGGAGTCTTGCAGTGAAACTAAGTCAGTGATCTTAGGGGCCCTATGAATTTGTTTGAAGATTTAGGTAATGGGAAATGCTTTAACACCTTTAGCTGTCTGGTGTAAGCAGACTCGAACCTGTCCTGAGTTGCTTTAAATGTCATCTAAGCGGTCTCTTAGTTCTGAGAATAGGTCAGTTCAGTTAAACGGTTGTGTTTCATTTTGGGAAGTGGTGGTGCAAGTGCATTCTCCTAGTAATGGTGCAGGTACGTAGTAAGAGGTGTATCTGTGGAGAAAAAAAAAAGAACAAAGGCTAATGATTGGAGTAGATTATAACCTCAGTTTCTGAGTTCTGAAGGCAGCCAATCAAGAAGATTGTTCCATGCCAAGTTCAAAGCATCTTCAGATAGAATGAGGGCAGGCAGTGGCAATGGGATAGGTTCTCTTGGTTTGTAGTTTGAATGTCTCTGCTGACCTTTCTGAGTGGCTCATACAACAGTAGGCATGAAGATTGTCCACACATGAGCTGTTGTGGTAATTTCTCTGAAGCTCATATCAAGTTGTCCCACCTTAGCTTGCAAGGTTCCAGGTAAAGGGGCGTTCAGTTCTCAGTGTTGCCAAGACAGAAGGGTGGGAGAAAAGCTGGAAATGTTAGTTTGAAGAGTTGTAGTTTCTAAATATTGCAGGAAACTAGAAGAATTAAGGATTGAGTCCCGTTTACAGGTCGTAAAGAAAACCTCAAAAACAATTAATAGCAAAAAAAAGAAGAGAAAGAAAGATAAACACTTAATAACACTAGAATCTTGTATCCCCAAAGGTGTTATACAGAAACTTATTTAATGTCGATACTCTGAAGACATACTAGTTTTAATTAAACCAAACTTAAATTAGCTTTATTTACCAAATATTATCTCACATCATGTGAACTTGAAAAACACTTGGTTAGTGTTGATGTTGGGGCAAATTAACTTGTGTAGGCTACAGATTCTTCATCTGTGAAATGGCAAGGGCATCATGTCATGTACAGGTTGTTGTGAGGAACAATGATACAGTGTAGTAAGGAGCTTAGAGTAGCGTTTGGCACAAAATAGGCACTTAGTAAAGTGGTAGCTGTTATTGCTGTTAAGATGATGTGTTCGTTGCAGTGTTATTTACAATAGCCAAGGTTTGGAAGCAATCCAAGTGCTCATCAGTAGATGAGTGGATAAAAAAGCTGTGTAGTAATATTCCATTTATACAATGGAATACTACTTGATTATAAAAAAGAAGAAAATCTTACTTTTTGTTACAGCAAGGATGGACCTAGAGGGTATTATGTTGAGTGAGGTAAGCCAGACAGAAAGACAAACACCATATAATTTCGCTTATATGTGGAACCTAATGAACAAACCAAACAAAATAGAAACAGACTCATAGGTATAGAAAATAGACTAACAGCTGTCAGAGGGGAGGGGCTTGGGGATCTGGGTGAAAAACGTGAAGGGACTAAGCAGTACAAGTTAGTAGTTGCAGACTAGCCACAGAGACGCAGATTGCAGTGTGGGGACTGTCGTCGATAATGTCAAGATAATGGGTGTGGGCCAGGTGGGTGCTTGGGGCGGCAGGGGGACCACTCTGTAGAGTGCATGGTCTTCTGGCCACTTTGCCAAACATCTGACACTGGTGCAGAGTGGTATTGAATATAAACTGTGGTTTAAACAAAAGAGATGATGTAATGAACTGAGATTAGAGCAAGTGGACAAACTGAGGTTTACTTGGTAGAGATTCATCAATTCTCAATCAAACTTTTTAGAAAATATTAAGTGTAGATTCCCTAGCTTTGAGGTGGGATATTTTCAAAAAGAAATATTTCTAAACGTGCTTAATGCTCTTATTTTTCTTTCAATCTAGGATTCCTCTGAAGGATCCAGAGTTCTCCTGTTGTCCACCCAGAAGTTTCTCTATAGCAGGCCAAGTGTCATTCCTGCTCACAGAGAAGCTTGGGCCGGCAGCTTGCTTGCTGTGTTTTGAATTGTGAAAGTTAATTAATCCTGTGACTTGACTGATATCTCTAACCCCACTCACTGGATGTTTTCTGCAGCCTCTGCCCTCTGAACCAGTGCTAGCAACCCTCTCTCCTTTTTAATATTATGGGGAAACCACTAACCAGCCAAGCAGCTTACACAGCGCACAGTAAGTGGGTAGAACCAGGCAGACTGGTGCTCATTCCATGTATTTGCTTAAGCATATTTTGTTTTTTAAAAATACAAGATTTGTGTTCAACTGCCAGTATTTTTTTAAGTACTGTCAATCCTAGTGGGTTGATGTCATATTTTAACTGATAATTTGTATTTTTCTGTTTTGATAGTGTTGGGTATTTTTGTTGTCATTTCTTGTTTATTTGTTGTTTGTTCATTTTTAAAAGCTATTTTTTGTGTGTGTAACTGAAATGGGCTCCCAGCCGGAAGTCTTTCCTTTTTTCACCTGCACCTTTGGGAAATCTTTGTCTCTTGAGGCTGTGTTCCTCAGTACCTTGTTTGTGTCCATGGACTTCATGGCTTTCTTGGGAAGGTTTCGTTATTTCTTGGGCCTGACATTGCAAGGTATTTGGCTTGCAGTATTGAAAAAGGAGAATTCAGAATGGTCTAATATTCTAACAAATGTTAATTATTAAATTGTGTCTCTCCTTTCCTCCACTCTCTCTTCTTCCCCCTGATCTTTTCTCCTTAGTGATGCCAATAATGGTGTGATTGCCGAACTCGTGTCCTTTGTTCAGTTTCCTCTTGAACGCAGAGCATCTCTGGCGCCCACGGGGGGGGGGGGGCAGCCCTTCTGTGCCAGATCACTGTGATTCCAGCGAAGTCTCTGACTGCCTAGCGGAGGTTTGCTGAAATATCTGTGTGTGGCGGAAGCGGGGCTGTAACTGGGATGAGGCCGGCTAGCTTGATGTCCAGGACTCCCCCTCAGGGCGGGGTCATGCTGCACCCTTCTGAGGGACCCGCGGGCAGGGCGGGCTGTGAGAGCCGCTGGACTGAGAGGGAGGAAGTGCATGGCAGCAGTCTCTGCAGGGCTGAGAGGATTCGAAGGAGAGGATGTGCTCACTTGGAGGCAGTGTGGCTTATCACCAGAGCTCTGAGAAAGAGCAGCACAGCCTCTCTCCTTGTAATGCGCACGGGGAGGATGTGGAGAGGGGGCTGGAGCTGGGGCTTTGGCTGGGTGGTGATGTTCACAAGTGTTTGAGGTGAGCAGTGGCGTGGCTTTGATCTCTTGTAAATACTTACAGCCAGGGGAGCAGCATGTCGAGGGAGAGAAGGCGCCTGTTGGGCCTGCTCCGAGAGGCTGGGCAGCTGCTCTCAGCCCGTGTGCTGGAGCTGAGTCAGGCCCTCTGTGGGGAGGCAGCTGCCTAGCAGAGTCTGTTTGGCTGCCCTGTGTTCAGACCGTTGGAAATGCTGTGTTACTGCCGAAATGGAAGGTGACCCTGGGAGCGGAGTCGGATTTTGTGTCTTGAGTGAACCCTCTTTTCCATATATGCTGTTTCTTTTGCTGCCGTAACAGCAGTTGTGAAGAAAAAATAAATAAATTAAAATTTGGCCTTCCAATTTGATGGGTTGTGAACAGTTGATGGTTAGGAGTAGAGACCTGCTTACAGGCCCCTTTCTCTAGAGCAGTTTTATTCTTAAAAGTCCTTATTAGCAACTTCAGTTGCACAGGTTTCTATTTGGCTTTTTTCCTTGTTGAAAAAAAATAGAATTCCTTGTACCAGCTGCCAGTGAATTCAAATGGGAGCCCCTTCTGGTGCAACCAGACTGAAGGAGTGTCCTCCCCTCACTCCATGCATGGTCCGTCTTTCCCACCTGGACAGGTGCGGACTGTCTCTCGTGGTCTGGCCTCAGGCGGAGGGAGCAGAGCTGTGACCTGACCCCCCCTTGTCATCGAGTTTGTTCCATGGTCCTGTTGGAGGGAGGCACCTGGGACCGGGGGACTGTCCTGCATCCTGTGGAGTCGGCGGTGCTCTAGTGCTGGGGTGGGGGACACAGGGCCGTCGTGTGCACTGCAGTTTGTCCCTGGGGCAGTGGATGTCTGTGTTTGGGTACATGTGTTTCATTTAAGTTATTTATTAAACATGCTTTTCCTTGCTTTAAGGGTGTGATAGGTCATTTTTTATAGAAGCTGTGATCCAGTTGGAATCCAAATTTGAGAAATGAAATAGCATAGCCTTCTGCCTTGTAATTTGTAAGTGCTGTAATCCTGTGGAACCTCATGGAGAACTCAAAGACAAAAACCCTTTCCATTTGCCACAGAAGGGTACTGCCTCCCTCTGACTCGGTGGGCTGGTATTTTTGAGTCAGTATTTAACAATTTCTTAAATCTGTAAGATTTTAAAAAATGTTTACTTTTCACGTTGGAACAGTCTCTTTGGAAATGCCTCTTCTTCTGGCTTGTAAAATTGCATTTCTTCCTGGGATCAGTTGCGAAGGGTTTGCTATGGGTCAGTACGAGGCGGTGTTTTGTGCCAGAGGGCTCAAGTGTGAGAACACAGACCTCACTGGCTCAGATCTGCCCTGGGTGAGCTATACTGGTTGAATCAGTGAAAACCAGTTTCTTACCTTTTACAAGGATGGACTTTTGCACTGGGACCAATGAATCTGGCTTGAAAAACTCCACTGCAGCAGTGAAAGGATTTGGAGATACTGATTATATCTGAACGGCCAACATATTAAAGGAGCTGTTACTTACTCACAAGTGAAACCACAGCTGCTCTTTACTTTGAACGCCCTTCCAGAGTCAGTCAGCGCTGGCAAGGGAGCCCCCTTGGGGAATGGAATAGCGCAGGGCTGTTGACTGCAGTGACCACTGGGTGTTCAGAGGTGGTGGTCTGGTTGGCCTGTACGGAAGCCAGTTGATTCTGGAGTGGCAGAGCAGAGCCATTCTCTCCTCCCGAGAAGCAGTGTTTCTGTTCAGCTCCCCTCACAGGACCTTCTGTTAGGACATGGTTTAAAATCCTGCCTTCTAGGAGAACCTGTGGCCATGGGGCTGTGCCCCACGTGACCAGCGGTGTGGCCATGCATAACTGGGGGAGCCGTCTTTGGGATCAGACTTCCCTGGACCTCATCTGTGTCCTTACTTCATGTAGGACCTTGCACAGATGCTTGAAGCTGATGGCTCTCGTTCTGGAGTCTTTTCTAAGTAGAACACCTTTCCCCAGGAGAGTCTCATCCTTGCCCTGAAGTCTTTGTGCTGAAGACAGCACCCAGTCCCACATCTGGATACCAGCATCTGGCAGGAGTGCCCTAGATTCGGGGGGGAAGATTTGGGTTGCTAAGATGCATGAGCTTTTCAGGCCAGTGGTAATTAACCCAGTCTAAAACTGCTATAAAAACCTGGCTTTCCTAGACAACTAATGCTGAGAGTTGATGGAGGGGCTAGTGAGGAGGTGGCGTACATAATAGCCTGAGTGCTTGGGTTACCATGGAAACTGGAGTGTGCAAGGCCACAGCTGATGCTAAAGAGCCATGGAACACTCCCCCAGACATGTTTGGGGACCAGCAGAACCTGTTGGGAAAACTCCCCCGCCCCAGGGTCCTTTGTGCTGAGCAAAAAGCTGCCTTTGCACTTATCCCTGAGTGCGCTCGAGAGAAACAAGGTTCTATTAACTCTCACCATTTTTTTACTCTTGTTTGACTATATATCCTATATATATGTAATTGTAAAGAAATAATCATATGCATTGTCTTTCTTTTTTATTCATGTAATATTCTGAAATTAAATTTCTTTTGTTTCATATCCATAGGCTTGGACTGGTTTCTTCGTTCAAATTTTGACTCATGGATTATTTTAAAGAGAGATTGCCTTTTTAAAAATTCCCCCAGTACTACTGAGGTATTATTGCCAGAGAGGCTGCCTCTTGTTCCAAGGAGCACGAGACCTCCAAGGAAACCTTCGGCCTGTTTTCCTGTGGGAGGGGTGGGCTCGGGGGCAGTGAGTCTCGGCCGATAGGCTGTGAGATGGGAGCCTCCCAGAATTCAGAGCCCCCTGATTTCCCACGGCTGGGTTTGGAATGCTCTGCGCAGATTTCAGTTTCTTGTATAACCCTGATTTCCTCATTTAAAAATAAAGAGTGATGTGTACAGTAGTAGTAAACACCAAATGACGTTTTCATCTAGGGTGGCAAGTTACAGTGTTCAGATGCCTCTGGGTGTCTGTTGTGTCTGTCACTTGGGTGTAACCTTCTTCCCTGAAAGGTGGGGGCAGCGGTACCCAGTCTCAGTGGTGCCGTGCTCTCAGATGGAAGGGCTTAGCACAAAAGGTGTTCATCTGGGGTCTGTGGTTGTACTTCAGGATGTCGTCTGCCCCTGTAATTCTATGTAAAATTTTGTGTATATTTGAACTTTTCTAAGGGAGAGATTTTAAAGCTTCTGCCAAAATCCCAGGGAGTCATCCACCACCAAAATACTGAGAACCATCAGCCTTCCGCAGTGCCTGGCAGATGGCAAGTATTCATTAGGTGTTAATTCTCTCCCTGCCAAGGATAAATTTTATAATCAGCAGGTTATTGATGCTGACATTGTTTTTTTTGATAATAAAAGAGTTACTTAAATCCGGAACAGGGGGAAAAAGTGAAAGCTCTGCAGCTGTCCCCACTCCATTACCTACCCACCCTCTCCTCTTTCTCGAGTCACCGCACCAGATGCTGCTCGGACTGCCTGTCCCTCTGTCCTCCTCACCCGAGGACCCGCTTGCACTGTTTACTGAAAAGAAAGGAGCCGGCTCTGTTCCTTGCAAGTGAAGCATGGAGAGACTCTTACAAGATAGTACATGAGAAACTGAGGAATGCAGGAGAAAAGAGGAAGGGGTGGAAGGACTTGACTAATTTTGAAAAACGGGGCGGAGGGGGGATCAAAATGTCTATCACAGCGCTGAGCACATAATCATTAAAAATTGAATCATAGAAAGGAGTGAAGAATCCGACATGCATTAAACAGCAGAAAGAAAGGTGGGAAAACCAAAGGCGGGGAAGAGTTTCCCGTGGCCTTCCCTTCCACCCAGGCCACTGCCGTGGCCTCGTCCCTTGCGTTGGGCTGCCCACGTTTTGTTCTCACCTACGTTCCTGAATTAGAAGCATAAGGGAATGGGAATGGTGAAGAAGCCTGAGCTCTGTTCTAGGGGGTTATGGTGCGTAATATACAGTGCTTGTGGAGATGCTTCCTTTAAGTCCCAGCCTCTTGATTTCCCTATAAAATGCAAAAACCAAAAACAAAAATTGGGGTTGAGTCATGGCCAAGTTGTGGTCCAAGTGGGTCGTTACCTGTACAGCATCATCCAGTGCCTGGATCCTGAGAGCCTTCTGCGTTGGACCCAGGATGGAGGTTAGCAGGAGGGGCCGTGGACTCACTGGCTTTTAACATGGTTAGTGCTTTAGTAATGAGGATTGCTTAATTCAGTTGGACCATACCTGTGGACAACAGAGAAAGGACAGACTCTAAAAATTGTGAGTGCAGAAGCCATGCCTCAACACCAATCTACAGGAGTGGGGACTGCTTTTATTATTTATTATTTATATTTTTTAAAGGTTTTATTTATCTATTTATTTTTAGAGAGAGGGAAAGGGAGGGAGAAAGTGAGGGAGAGAAACATTGATCAGTTGCCCCTTGCACATCCCATTTGGGGACAGAACCTGCAACTCAGGCATGTGCCCCAACTGGGAGTCGAACGGGCGACCTTTTGCTTTGCAGGGTGATGCCCAGCCAACTGAGCCACACTGGTTAGGGTGGGGTGTTGCTTTTAAGAGCTCCTTCTGCCCACATGCTTCCCAGTTTTTCAGTATTGGAAAGGAATTATGATAGGGCCTTTAAAGAGTTCAAGTCTCCTGGGAGTGAATAATTAATACCACAATTTACTGAGTACTAAGCTTTGTGCTAGCCAGTTAATTCCTGTGTCATTAAAGTGATATATCTCTGTGAAGAATTGTTATCTCCAATTTTATAGTTGAAGATACACATGAAGAGTTTAACGTATCCATTATCGGCTAAAAAGTGGCAGAGCCAAGGCTGACGTCCAGGGCTGCCTGACTTTACGAACTGGCTTCACGCCCCTGCATCTACAGGAGCCAGGCAGGGACATGTAAGGTCACGACAGCAACAACTGCGTGAAGAGATTTAAAAACACCGCGGAGCCGAATGTAACTCCTCCAGGGCCTGGATTCGGCCCAAGGTCCCACTTGGCGTCCTCTGCGCAGCGCTGTGCTGCTCGTCTTCTGGCCGGGTCCCCGGGCCGCACAGGGTGCTCTCCAGGGCTGCGCAGTTCTGGCTCGGGGGTGGCGGCCGCAGGGTGCCCTCCAGGGTGGCGTTCCCACACAGGAGGGTGGGTGACCCCCGACTGCTGGGAGCCACTTGGGGAGAGTCTGTCCTCGTCCTGGCTCTCCTCTGCGTACTCTCTCTCCAGTGTGGCGGCCTCCGGCCACAGGCCGGTATTGAGCATTTGAAATGTGGCCAGTCTGAACTGAGGTGTGCTCTGAGTGCGAAATACACCCCAGGATTCAGACTCAGTAAGAAAAATAGGATGTAAAAATGTCTCGGTAACTTTTTATATTGATTATATATTCAAATGATATTTTGGATGTATCGGTAATTAAATTACATCACTAAAATTGATTTCACCTGTTTGTGTTTACCTTCCCATGACTGCTAGAAAACGTTCAATTACATGTATGGCTCATGTGGTGTTGCCATGTTCCCGAGCCTCTGGGGCTCTCATTCTCTCTGAACTTCCCCCCCAAGAAGCTGCTCAACTCCATCAGCACCTGTGGTCAGACCTCTTCTTTTCCTTTAGTCCTGAGACCATCCTGAAGAAGGGAGGGGAGGTCAGAAGAAAACCAGCTAGCAGAAGTTTTACCCGGGGCTCCTCTGGGATCGGCTCCTGCCTGCCACGGCCGGCTGCGGGGTGCCTCAGTGCGACCTCGCTCCCTGGGCCCACCGCGGGCTGCAGCCCTGGGGGGGCTGGGGTCCCTGCAAGGGGACTTGAGGTCAAGGAGTGCCAAGCGCTGCCTGCCCTTGGAGGGGGCACTGTCCTTCAGTATTTGCGCATGCTGCGATCCATCAAGATATTTTTAAGTTAGTGAACTCCTAATAGGTTGTGTTTTTATGCATGGCTTGTTTTCCATAATGGATAAAAATGCAGCTCTGAAGTACGGAAACTGCAATATGTCCATGTTAAGAGGGGTCTTCATATTCCCAAAGGCAGAGATTTTCTGATTCAGTTCCCTGAGAGCGGAAGGGGAAGCCAGGCTGGTCAGAGGAGAGGAAACATTAAAGGTGTGTAACATCCCTCTCCCATGACCCACCGCCGTCCGGGGCACAGGGACCCGCTCATCTTTCTGGTCAGCACGGAGGCTGTGGCCCAGGCCCTCCTGTCTCTCCCTGAGGGGGAGTCGCTGGGGTTTACTGGCAACCTAATGACCAGGAATCAGGCTTCGTCGGGTGCTTTGGGGTGACTGAAACTGACTGTTGATGACAGGCCCTGTACTCGGCTGCTGCTCCAACACTCTCTGTGTGAACCAGGCAGAGGGAGAGGATGGAGAGGAGAGGCACGGCTCCGTTCCTCGTCTCTGCCTCTCTCCCCCGTGGGAACACAGAAGCCTGCTCTTTCCAGAGGAATCTAGAAACCATCTGGTGTGAAGGAAAAGGGTATATTTAGTCCGAAGCAAATCCCCAGCAGAGACATGGGATCAGAGCCAGTCAGAGGACTGAAGACTCCGCACCAGCGTGCGGAGAGGAAGGGGTGAGGAGGACTCTCCGGGACCCCCAGACCCACTGTGGCCAGGGAGCTGCCTTGCCTCTGGTTTAGAGTAAGACTTGTTTTAAACAAGGGGACTGGCCCTCAGACGATGTTTTATAGACGGAAATGGAGATTGGAAAGATGGCGATGTAAGCCTGTGGAAACGCACCCGGAGTAGCAGTGTGGGAATCTGAATCCATCCCTCCTGTAAAACCGGCTCTATAAGAGCACAGTTGGATGTGTTTTGACAGATGACTGCATCCCTGTAACCACACTCCAATTAAGATGTACAACATCTCCATCACTCCCGAAAGTTCTTGCGTGCCGCTTGACAACGAATCCCCTGTGTGCCTGCCCCAGGCCACCGACTCATTTCTGTCACCGGTGCTTCCTTTTATCCCTGATTCCACCTGCCAGCTTGCAGCTGCTGTGTTGCCTGTGCCTCCTTCCCTCCCTGCCTGGCGTGTTCTGAGGAGCTGGAGGAAGGACCCTTGCTATGCGTTTCTGTGTTTCTGGGCCCAAGGGCAGGAAACGAGAAGAGTGACTGTGGCTTATGGAAACCGAGTCCCTTGAGGGCGGGAGCTGCTCCTCACGTTTCGTTTCCACAGTACCTAGAACGGCGCCTGGCTCTGGGTAAAGTGCAGAATGGAATTGGTCCTGTCCAGTGATGGACTGATCATTCCTCGGAGAAGCCACTCCGTTCCTTCCCAGGTGACCGTGCACCGGGCGTGGTGGTCCCTAGCCCTGACAGACACCGGTGAATTCGTGCCGTCTGGCCTTGTGTGGGAGGGCCGGAGCCACGTCCCATCACTGTGATTCTGCCCCGTGTCCCAGTGCGGCGGGGCGGATGGGGGTTCTAGTATGACGTGGCAGGTGGTGAGGTAGCGCCGAGCGCTGCGGAAGCCAAGGGGAGGGGCACAGAGTCCAACTGAGAGACTGGGGGGGGCTTTTGGGGGGGCACATGCCATGGAGGATGTGAGAGGAGCCTGCGGAAGGGATTTCGGTGCAGG